GTGATCTATTTCAAAAATTAAAAAGTGAATAAAAATGTACATCTTCATTATTCTCACGATTAGAAAAGCCAAACAAATAGAAAATAAAAATTAATATTTAGATTTTCTTGATCATCGTACGAAAACACTATCACTGGCATAAGCACCAAGTTTCTTACCAGTTTCCAGAGAATCAAAATCAAGAACAAAAACACAACTTGTTTCTTAAATTATAAGCAAGATAAAATCATATCAAATCAGCTCTTGATATATTGTCATCTTATATATCCATATATAAATTGAAAATATAAAGTTACAACTTTATTTATATTCCTTCATACATTCATAATCAAGTCATTTCGATTTGTCAATTGAATCTTCTTCTTAATCTGTACGTTTGTCTCCTTTTCTTCTTTAGGTTTGCGAATTAGAAACACTTTTGCCCACATGGTGTTAGTTTTTTAATGTTGTCTGACTCATCTTTATTCTTCCTTCTTGTGCATTTTTTTTTCTTAGTAGCTTCACTGCACAAAAAATAAATCGTCAATGGAGGAAGAGCTTCATGTTTTAGCAGTAGATGACAACCTTATTGACCGTAAACTCGTGGAGAGAATTCTCAAGATCTCTTCTTGTAAAGGTAAATTATATACTTCGAATCTCCAATTTTTTTTTCCCCTTTAATATTTCAAGAACCAAAATTCTTCTTTGGTATTCTAACATTGCCTCTGAATGTGAAAATTGATTTCACTATTTTTTGTGCAGTGACAACAGCAGAAAATGGGCTTAGAGCATTGGAGTACTTAGGCTTGGGAGATCCACAACAGATTGATTCATTAACTACCACCAATGTAAACTTATCTTCAAGTTATTTAATCCTCAGAGAAAAACAATTTGATTGGTTTAGAGAGGATTCAATTGAGTAAACCTAATGATTTGTGATATTTTGGTTTTTTTTTTCAAGGTTATGAAGGTGAATCTTATCATCACTGATTACTGTATGCCAGGAATGACAGGTTTTGAGCTGCTCAAGATAGTAAAGGTGTTTAACAAATTTCTTATGAAACAAGAGTCTTGTTTTGAAGATTCAGAGACTAACAACAATTTTTGGGTTTCTATTGGTTATTGACAGCAGGAATCGTCGAATCTAAAGGAAGTACCTGTTGTAATATTGTCTTCAGAGAATATTCCTACTCGCATCAACAAGTAAACTTTAATTTATCATGATGACACACGTTGATGTTCTGTTTTTATTTATTTAATTATTGATTCGGTGGTGAATTAAAATTATGTTATTTGCTCGATGATTGACACTCGCAGATGTTTAGCAAGCGGAGCGCAAATGTTTATGCAGAAGCCGTTGAAACAATCGGATGTAGAGAAACTCAAGTATCATCTCCTAAAGTGCAGAAACTGAATATTTGTTTAGATTCGAAGCTCAAAGAATTCTTCTGCATTTTTTTTAATATAAGAGATTAAAGATTGTGTTCGTAAACTATGACAAAGATAGTCTTGATTATCTCAAACTACTTCTTGTTCTTTATAGATTTGTGAAGAGGACAATAAAATTCTCTCTGAGTAAACTAAATATATGAATTATAAATGTTTTTTTGGTCAGATTATGAAGAATCGTAGCCCACAAGAAACGCCTAGAATTCAGACAATAGATAGAGCCTGAATTCAAAATCAAAAAGTAAACCAAATTGAAAAATTGGAATTGGGTAAAAAGCAGAGAAGTAAGAGTAAAAAAACACTCTCCCACCTCTGTACGCATCCGCTGCCGTTTTGGTGAATGATGAGTGCACTTCCTGTGGTTTTGTGGACGTGAAGGAGAGACGCATGGTGTTAAATTAAAGGGAATGACGGCAGTTTAACCTTTCTTGGCTAAAAATAAACAACGTTTCAAATTACGTAATGTAATCAGGAAATAAGCCCTGTGACCGTGAGGCTGAGTTAAATGTTACCGTGTGAATTTGAGAATTGGTATTGTGAAAAATTTGTTAAGAGTAATTCACTTTTCTTGCAAAAAGTGGGAATCGAATGTTTTTTACTATGTTTTCGCATATGTTTTACTTATTTTTCTCATTTTATTTTCTTTCGGTATTATTTAAGAAAGTGAAAATGTATTGATAGAATTTTAGTTAAGATAAACTATAATTAGGAAATAAGCAGAACATATGCAAAACATAATAAAAAAAGTTATTAAAAACGATGTTTTGCTAATATATATCTCCTTAAGATTGGGGTCTAATACAATTGCCTCATGAAAAATGTGTCCTGAAATGGTTTTGAATGTAGCTGGTATATTTAGGTCGGCAGGAAGCTCAAGGATTTCCAGAAACCTCGTTGGAGAAATCATTCAGAAAAGATTTGTGTTTGTATGTATGGTTTTCAATCCGACTTTCCCACGGATACGTGACACGTCACTACTGAATATGAGATTGGGCATTGCCCCCAAAACCAGAATGGAAGACCCTTGCGCTGCATATTTAACTAATGGTAGGACATGTGGATCTTACAGTTATTGTTCCACCAACAAGTCCACCGCAGCAGACCTTTGTCACTATATTGAAGGGTTCGATCCAAAGCCGGAACCTCTACGTGGTTGTGTGAGTGCACGGCATTTGCCTTAGTAGAATATGATGTGTTAGATTATGTTATGTGTGTATTGGAAAGGAGAATACACTTTTGGTGGCCAAGACCTTTATGTCAAAGTGGCTCTGTGGCTCCTAAGAATTCCGTTTAGTAAATATATAATACGCGATATACTTTCTGATTGTAACACTCCACCTGAAACTCAATTGTCTACAATAGCTGCTTTGTTACTGGAGAATAAAGAAAAAGCAGGCAAGAGAAAGAGCAGCTGCAACATCCATTGGTAAATTATTATTATTATTATGATTTTTTTATCGTTAAATTATTATTTTGTTTATTAATTTAAATATATTATTTTACTATATAGTTTAATCTTTGAATATATTATTTTATTATATGGTTTAATATTTAATTGTATTCCCCCTCTTATATATTTCCCTACATAATATTTGCTAATGGGAATCAAATGTCAAATATTTTTACTATGTTTTCGCATATGTTTTACTCAATATTTTCATTGTATTTTCTAAAAGTGAAAATGTATTGATTACAATGTAAATTAAAATAGTTGACAAAAAAAGAATTTCAATTAAAATAAACTATCATTAGAAAATAAGAAAAAGATATGCAAAACATAATAACAAAAATATTAAAAACAATGTTTTGTTAGTATATATTTCCTTTAAGTATTTTTCAGTATCTTCTTAAGATTGGGGTATAATACAATCACCTCATGAAAAATGTGTCCACAAATGGTTGTGTCACAAATGTAGCTGGTATATTTAGGTCGCCAGGAAACTCAGAAGATTTCCAGAAGCCTCTTTGGAGAAATCACTGAGTAAGGATCCGTGTCTGTCTTGTTGTGTGTAATCCTGATGAAGTCGTATTTCTTCTCCGTACTGTGATCCGTCCGTGAGGATTCAAATATCACTGCATAATTGTGCCCCACGTCTTGTAGAGATTATATGAAACTTCCCACGTATTCTCTATATTTCATCGGTAGGTAGTCTTCAGATGTTAGTTACGTCACTTCTCGGCCATATTAATCTCACATGCTTTATCTATTCCAAACCACAATACGCATTTCGGATCATTTCCATCTAGTTCATTTGCTTCTTTGGACCGACTACTCAAGGCAACGTGCACACTACACGAGGAAAAACACTTGGAGGAATCGCGTTATGCAAAAAAGTAATAGGTAATGAGGTGCACTACAAGTGTTTTTTTTTTTTTTAATTGGTTGTTTTCAAGCTTTTTCTGTTGTTGGATTCTTAAGGGGGTGTTACTTGACACTCACAGTTCCATCTTGATTGCAATTTGGAAAACCTGATTTATCTAGATACATTTTGGACACGCTTGGTTCTAATCCTGTTATCATTAATCTTCTTTTTATTCTTATTTTCGGATATCCTTTTTGCAGACAAGAATCTCTAAAATCTGCACATGAGATAAGGTGAAAATATGTAGTTCACAAAAAAATTCTTATTAATTATCCTTAAACTTGTCGTAGATATAAAAATCATGAGGTTGAGAATGTGATGAACTTGTTGGGGTTTTTCTTTTGTTGTGTTGCAAACCAATATGAATCAAAGTAAGAGTGTTTCTTTGCTTTCTGTGTCATTTATTTCATGTCTCATCCGTTTTTTATAGGGACACATTTAATTGTATTTTCCCTTTTATATATTTCCCCACATAATAATACAAAGAAATGGCAAAAAATTAGAAAAGGACCCATTCGTCAAGTTGTACTTTGTACATATATAGTTGCTGCTTGAGAAGTTTAATCAGAAAGCCAAATTAAAAAGGGCAATGACGACCACTTTCTATATGCATTTTTCCTGTTTCCTGGTCAGTGGCGGAGGCAGCTATTGCGGTCAAATGACCCTATACATATCTAGAAATATATATACTTGTATATTTGAAGGAAAAATTGGTGAAATATTGGAAAATTAGCCTATTGACCACTCTAACATATGCATAAAATAATTTTGATCCCATAATTTTATAAAACTTTACTGATATTTGGATAAATACAAAACTCAATTGTTTTCATATATTTAAGAATATATTCAATACTTTGTATATTTTTTCTAAGACCACAGTGAAAATTGTGGCTAGCTCCGCCACTATTCCTGGTCCTCTTTAGGAATCAAACATTCCAACTCCTAATTGGTAGGGCATCTACGATCTAGCTATATATGTATATGTATGTATACTTATCTTAATGATCAAATACTTTTCCTTGATAAAATCACTAGTTAATTAGACGGGAACTTTGGCAGAATGGTAGCGACTAAAATCTCTCCACTCTCTAGTCAGTAGACTCGGCTATTTCTGGGTAAGACGAATAATACGATACATTAGTTAAAAGAAAAGGATTGGGAGTTAGAGAAATTACAGAGATGAGAATATAAGAGGAGAGATAGACGTAATTAATCCAACAAGAGTATTATTACAATATTCTACTATATGTATACTACAATATTCTACTATATATATGTACAGTACAGACACTCATTAGAGAAGAGAGGACAATTATATGTTCCATTCGAGGCCTGATGATTAATTCTCTAGAGAAGATGATGACAAAATATAGATGTTCCAATAATTCTATATAGGAATGTAAAATTAAGCTAAATTGGAACATGGTTCGAAGAAAGCGAGCTCCTCATTGTCGCTGAACCAGGAAATCATCGCTGCCAACTCCAAAGATCCGTGGAATCCAAACCATTGATAGATGCACTAGTTTCAACACAACCATAAGTACCCTCATGATGATGATGATGATGATGATGTTCCTCTTCAAACAACAACATTTCTTGCCACACCAATTGCAAGTCACTCTCCGTGGACGAACCATGATTCTTCTCTTCCTCTTCCTTTATCGAGGTAGTCAAACGAGGACTCTTGAGCTCTTCAGAATCCATGATGATCTCATCATGATGAATACAAGACTTGATCTTGGGTGTTACTTCTTTGGTGTTACACGTGTGGTTTCCAATGTATGTGATGCTGAACATCCTGGGTTCGAACTCTAGCTTCTGAACTTGCTTTGTTGCCTTGCACGCTTGAGTGTACTTGTGTGTGCACCTAAAGTAACTTCTGCAAAACATTAATGAAAAAAAAAAAGATTAGGCCAAAATTATATTCCACAACCAATCAAATCCAGACCACATTGATGGTAGATATAAATGCGGTCTATGTATAATAATACCCAGCAACTTGTCACATATGAATAGTTATACATATACACACACACATGTCTCTTTATACATAGATGTAGATGAATAGAGTTATAGAGGGATAAAACTGACCTTGGGAATTTGGCATTAAGAATCTCCTTTTGTCCATATTTCCTCCAAGAGTATGCGTCCTCAAGGTTGGTCGACTCTACAGTCCACGTCTCCGATCGCTTCCTACTCACAATGTTGTAAATCAATAATTAGAACATTTGGATTTTTATATAATTATGATTCTTAAAACCAAAAGCTAAATGTCTTGTTTGTCTGTGGACCAACCACAACACTAACTAGATCCTAAATGATCGGCTTTATTGGTACGAATCCAAATCGGTTGATTTATGGTATGATGATCAAAATATAATCACAAATGTTTATATAAAATTCTCTATCACTAATGATAAATAAGTAAAAAAGAGACATGAGCTTATAACCTATTGGATTTTACTACATATCACAAGGTCCAAGATTTATAGTAAGCGAGAGAAGGTGAAACTTACTTTCTCTTGTAGCATCCTCTTTTACCCTTAACGGGTCCCAATCTTTTCCGGCTATCGCCGGAATCCTCAAGCTTGACGTCGTTGTCGCAGGAAGCATTTTGAGATCCTTCGACGGCGGTGACAAGAGAGGAGGAGGAGATGGGTTCGAAGGAATCAAAAGCAGAGATTGTGTCATTGAAAGTTCCCAAGATTTTAGCCACGAGATCCTTGGCTGGACCCAGATCCGACCCTGGTTGAGAGAAGAGTTGCTGAAGCTGAATGGTGAACTCATGGCCTTGAACGAGTTGATCTTTTACCTTTATTGCTATTTTATCACTAGCAATTTCCATTTTGGGGAATTTGAGGGAGTCTTTTTGGTGGGTTGGTTTTTTTTTTCTTCTCTTTGGTGTTGGTTATATGATTAAAGGGAAGAGAAGTGAGTGTGTAAATATAATGGAGATGAGAAGAACTTTGTAATGATGAGATATTTTTTTTTTTTTTTTGTGAGGGAGAGAGAGAGAGAGGAAGATGTGAGGAAAGGAGAAGGAAGAGGAAAGAGATGGAAAGAGACAGAGGAGGAGGATGAACTTATCCACCCTTTTCATTTTTTTGCTTACGAGAGCTTCGTGACGCAGTTTGAATGACGTAACGATGACGTTATTCTTTCCCCAATGAGAACGGAATATAGAGCTTTGCTTACTTAGGCTCATTCATTTTTTTTCCTTAACTTGATAAATTTTGACCAATTTCTAATAATTACGGATTGCATATCATTCTCGAATTCGAAATCCAACTCAATTTTTATCTAGCAAGATAGTGACTAGCTACATTTAGTTAATTACCAGAAATAAACCACTATACATCAAATAGATCTCTGGAAAAAAGTTTTATGATTAACTGTCTATTCCTAACTGAAAATTGATCTGACATGAGCAGAGTTTTTGATATTTTACATATATCTAAAATATTGGGTAAATTTATCTAAATTATATTGGTTACTTGGAAACAATCGAGGGTAATTTTTTTATCACTAAATTTAAAATATTTTGATTAAATTTATCTAAATTATTTAAGAAAAATAAAAATTAGTAGAGGGCACATGACCTCAGTTCGAGGTGCACTACCTCCGCACCTGATTACTCCGCACCTGATTACTGATTATTTCCAGTTAGACGACTAACTTATCAACTCATTTCATTAATAATTTGATATAAAAAATATTGTGTATAGGTAAGCTTTTCTACCCTTTTTTTTTCGTTTCTAGAAACTATTTTATATTAGACTTGATTAGAATATATTATAGCGATATGAAGACCACACAATCTGTGTTGAAAAGTATTTTCTTTCACTCGGATTCACCTTTGTTCCATTTTCTTGGAAAAGGTATGCATAGTTAGGCATTATACATTTTTAATATATCGAAAATAAGTACTTAGCATGATTTCTTAAAATTTATTTTTTAATCGTTGTATCATAGAAATATTTAAAGAGGTACGGTGTATGTGGTCGGCTCTCTGGCCCTTCATAATTTCAATGCATATACATGCGTGGGGTTCTCTTCGCTTGAGATGGTCTAGTTGGTCTAGTGGCGCCTCACTCTCCTTTAATCAAGTCTTAACTTTGAGATAATGATCAGTGATCTGATTATATAAGACAAATTAATTCGGATGGGTAAAAACACAGGATAGCCAAATAGTCTAACAACTTAATGATTTTGTAGACGTTTATCAATTTTACAGTTACAAATCATTTGTTTTTCAGATATTTGTTTTTCCTTTTTTTATGATTCTGCCATCCTAGTCTATTCGTTTTTCTCTTAAATGACATGTTTGCTTGAATCTTCATTATATATTGTTTATTAACGAAGTTGTTGTTGATAAAAATTGTGTGGTAAGATTTGTATTTTAACAAAAAATGATTTCATGTTGTTTTCGCCTTTCTATTCTACGGAGTATTAATTAACTTAAGGTTTTTGATTGTCGGGTTTTCTAGTATTTATTATGATTGGTTTCAGAATATTTACCTGTATGTAGATTTATAAAGATTAAATATGAGCACACGTTTTATCACCACAAGTATTCAGGTCTTGTGATAAGAGAATTTAATGTAAAATTGGAGTACATATTTTTTACGGGGTTTTCAGGTTTTATCACCACACGTTTTTTGTGTGTTTTTCTTAAATTTAATGAAGATAAAGAAGAATGTAAAAGTACTAGTAACTGTAGTATATCTTTTACCGCTAAAATGTTAATCTGCGAGGTCTTTTAGCTAGTACACTAATTGAACCACAGGTCCGCAGACGTACGATCATTGAGAAATCAATTCCAGAAAAAAAACAATCTAAAATAGAAACTGTTGACTAATGGCTACAATTATTCATGTAAAAGTACAATTAAAAGGATAACTAATGTCTAAAAAGACAAATTTTAGGATAGGATTTTAGTTGATCCAAGTTATTTTGGGGGGTAGCTACCATTTAGTACACCTCCAGAAGCCAATAACTTCTGTCCGAATTTGTACGCAGATTCATAAATGAGATCCGTTATTAATGCTCTAAAGTGTAGTTGTTGTGTCTCAATTTTTTCCATTAATTCCAAAAGTTGGCTGTCTATAGTCGGAGTAATATTAAACAGTTGGAAAATGCAATATCTAAATTTTAAGTCACTATAATGATTTTTTTTTATAAACAAATTTACTAGGCCGGCATTTTTTCTTCTGAATGCTAATATTCTAAAATATATCGTTAACGAATGGGAATTGGTCTCTGACGTACTTCGACCAATAGAGAAGATCTTAATAAACTATAACTTTTTCATAACAATATTGTTAATTATGTCACCGGAATAATTGAAAAAGAAGTTATAATACTGTTTTTCAAGAGGATGATATGCGAGAAGAATTCAATGGAATTGAAGGGTTGTTGACAAGGAAATAAAAAATTAAAGAATGATAAGAAATATACTAAGTTTGTGCTTAATCTAATCTGAATATTAGCTGTCTTTTTTAGAAATAGTTAACTGTTAGTATCTTCCATTAACGAATTGAAAACTATCCCTTGAAAAACTCTGGAGTGGTGACCTATCCTTTGGTTTTGCCCTTTTGGAAGGGAAGGCCTATCTCTAATTTTGAAAAAGTACATTCCAATTGCACTATGTATATTATAACATTTTAAATAGATTAATTTGATTATTATTGCATCAGAAATCAGAATAAAGTAGACACACTTAAATTTCGAAGGAACGTGATATTATAGATATTAATCATTATCGCTATTATATTGCCTAGTTCCTAATCTATAAACCTAAGAACTATAATTAAGAAATATTGCTCCACCACGAAGACGCGTCATCCGTCGAGCAAACTCGTGCTGCTAACAAGATCGAAACTAAACTCTCGTCTCTTATTTGAATATTTCAACGAACTAATTAATCTTAACAAAAGTTCATTCTCTTGTAGTTATACTCATACAGATTCGTCCACTTTTCTATTTTCTAACAAAACTTATAATTGCCTCAGTAGAATATTCATTTCTAAACAACCCAATATTTTCATATTTTTCATGCCTCCTTTTTTTGGCTCCATGTTTATCTTCTTTAAAACATTTTTCTAATTATATTTGAAATGAACATATATATATATATCTATATATATATATATTTCACGGTGAATGATTTGATATTCGACTTATTTCACGGTGTTTAAATCTTCAATGGATAAATTATGAAATATAATAAGAGTCATCAAGTTGTGTAGGCTACTATTATGTCTATATATACACCCAAAAGACAAGGGGGGGACTATGGCGATGGATCAATCACTAAAAGACAACACTCCCCCTAGCGAATTAAACATTGTTTCTGCATGTTGGCGATTTGTACTACTCATAATGGCATAATCAATTCATATTATATGTTGTAGTTTATTAGGTTTCTGACATTATTACTCGAATCAATAAATTGACTATCCTCTACATATTTGTGAAGAGCTTAATTTGCGAAGGGGGTTGAACTCGTAGAAGTGGGATATTAGTGTGGTAGAAGCCACTGTAGTGGTGGTTAAAAAACGAATCTATGCGATTAGAGTGCTTAAAATTAATCATTTTTAAAAATGTGGTTTAGCCATTTCATACGGTTCAAGTTTCATACGGTGCATGAATCATATATATGTGTACAGTAGATTGTGATGTGTAAATAGAATCATGACAAAAGGGGTGAGTGGGTATCGAATACTATAGGACCAATAATTGTACAAACTCAAGCTTTTTGTTTTTTCACCAAATAAATTTTGTGCGATCAAAAGGGAAATGTAAACAAGGAAAGAAGGGGGAAGCTTCATATATCATATCTACAATGAGAAAGTTCTCATTGGAAAAAGAATAAATTTTTGTACGGGGAACATGATAAAAAAAAGTGAGAAAGAGACTTTAAAAGGAAATTCAATGGGAAATACAAGAAAATGTAAATTTAATATTGATTACCTCTTAAAGCAAAATTTCTTCACAAACTCACAACGTCGAAGTAATAACTTTGAGGTAAAGAAGCGGAAGCTTCTTCTATGTCTATCTATATCTCTCTCTCTCTTGACAGTCAAAATCTCCTTAAACTTCGATCGATTTCTCTCGCAAACCCTAAAATTGAATATATATATATATATATAACATATATTAGCTGTGGTCTAACTGCTTTTGATGTTAAAAAAAAACTTTTTAAGAACCGTAGGTTTTTTGGTTTGCTGGGTTTCTACATACATGGCTCGAAAAGATTGTCCTAATTTTTTTTTATTTTTTTTCTAAGCCTTTTGACAACGTTCAAAACTGCAATTCCGTAGTTTCCTTTGGGTTTCATAAACAACTTACTAAGATTTCATTTTGATTTGTGTGACGTACTTACTGATTTTTTTTGGTATTCTATGATTACATGCGTGAAAAATGAAGAGGAACTTTAATAATTGATTTGGATTTTGAACCAATTCAAAGTAGTTAGATATTTCGTGTGGTCATGTTTTTATAAAAAAACAAAAAAAAAACCACGTTTCTCACAAGGTTTTTAACAAGACTAGACTTGTATTCAAGGTAAACTAGACTTGTACGTACAGTCACAGGAAACACAATGGGTTTTTATTTGGCTTTTGCTTGGTTTGTTTCAAACCCTAAAAATGAGTAGTATTTGACAATTTGCACAACTTGAATACATGGATTTTACCCCAAAAAAAAAAACTTGAATACATGGAGAATGAGAAATAAGTTATACTGTATTGTTTCTTCAAGAGGATTCTTGGCGGTTTACTCATATATATGTTTCTTCGTATGAGAATCAATATGCAATGAGAAGCACGTCGAGAAAGGTAAACAAAGCGGTAGTAAACGCTCACAACCACATGAAACCGCGGAGAAATAAAGTTCCATCTGATGTAATACGCTATTTAAAACGGCAGGTCGTTCAGTTGTCTAGACGTAGGATGGCAAGTAGTGTGAAATAAGGTTCTCCCTTCTGAAATTCTCGAGTGCGAAAAAAAAAAACCGAATCGTAATACAGACTGTAGAGTGAGGTTCGAGCGAGATACGGAGAGATCAAAAACGGAAATAGCAAGAGAAGCAACCATTCTCAAGAGCTTGAGACCAACTTTCCGATTCCAATATTCTACGGATGTCCAGGTCGCCGCCGGCTGGGGCATCGCCGCATCGCCGCCGCCGCTACCGCCGTTTGGATGGCCCAAGTACGCCTTCAATTCTCTCTCTCTCTCTCTCGTTGAATTTTGGTTTCCTGATTTGGGATCTGTCGGGAGCTTATCTCTAGTTTGATTGTTTGTACTATAGACATGACTTGTATAGAAGGGATTCCTACAGTTTCTTGCTTCACATTTAACATTGGATCTTTTGGATGATGTATTATGAACATATCAATGAGACGAATGTCTTTGTGATGAAGCAGATTCAAAAGTTCCAAACTTTGTTGCAAATCTTTCATCTAAAATTATGAAGAAAATAAGCATTACATTGTTTTTGAATTGTTACTCCTTAAAAACTCTTTAAATATATATGACGAGCTGTTCTCTATGGACACAGCCATTTGATCGGACAAAAGAAGACAATCCTCGAGAAACTAGAAGTAGAGAACAAGTAACAAGTTACAGAGATTTTACAAGAACAGAGGAAGGAGAGTTTTCAGAGTTTCCTTAGTGTAGAATTTGTAAAATTCTTAAACGCATCTCAAGTTTATTATATATGTTGTTTATAAAATTCAGGGTTTGGAAAGTAGTTGAGCTGTAATTGTGGAGCTTTGAGAGCTCTGTAAACTCAAGAACTCGTCTTTGCCTTTGGCTTCGTTATGTAGAGACAAACACAATTGATAAGTAGGAATTTGGACATAACATATACAAGATGCTCGAAGAGTCATTTGTTTGTGATCTAAAATAATCTCTTTGGTATATATTTTATGTTTATGCTTTCGTATGATCACAAGATAACAACCACTAGGACTTAGAAAAATAACGAAATTATCCCCAACCGAAGAAACAGAATTCCGGATTCTGTCTCCGCCTGCTCTTTGAAACAAAACGTCCGGTTCCATTCAAAAGGACTAAAACCCCAATTTAAGACTTTGTGCAGATTTTCCCCTTTCATTGAGGTTTACTGGTTTTGTTTGCGAATTATCGGTGGGATTCCGAAGGTCGTTTCTCCTAGAGGTAATAACAAAAATCTTATAATTTTATATTTCGTTTCACTTTAATATTCAATCTCATTCTGTTACAGTCTGTGATTGCTTTAGTTCGTATCTGACTGGTTAATACTTTTTTACTCTCATTTTTTTCCTGTATAAGCTAATAAGATAGTATACAGTCATGGAAGTTTCCTGTCGATTGTGATGTTTACTGTCTTTTTGAATGTAAGAGAAGGAGATAAATCATTAGCTATGTATCAAGCTAAAATATATAAGAACTTGTAGATCAAATGTTGGTATAATTCAAGTTTCAATAAACAAAATCTACTTGATTCTTCTCTAAAACATGCACAAAACAAATGACAGTAACATTGGGCTTACTGATGACTCTGTGGATACATCATTTAGGATTCACTATGTCCAAAACTCATAGTGAATCTTTTTTTCTTTCTTTTGGTTCATCTAAAACACCCGTAGAAAATCTTACATGTAATCCAATCACTTTAAAAAAAAAAAGAAACAATGTACACACTGTTTTGCATCGCAGGTAAAAGTCTTGAGCAACCTTGTATGAATGCTTATCTGTTTTTTCTTGACACTAAACTTTCTTGCCAAAGAATAACACATCAGAGAGTGATCCAGATGTGTGGATGGGAGAACGCAATGGTGAAACTATGTGGGAATGCATTGGTGAAGCTATCGGAGAACGCATTGGTGAAGCCATCAGGTAATGCAGTGGGGAACCAATGGGAGTATGAATTGGTGAACTGAGAGGTGACCGTAGAGGTGAAGTTTGATATAACGCATGACGCAAACCCACAATCTCAGAGGGTTCTGTTGTGTTATAGAAATGAGCATAAGGTTCAGAGGTTAGACCTGACTTCTCCTTCTCTTGCTGCAGATTCTCTAAATGGTCTGTCAACATCTCTTCTTCAGCTTCATTATATACTTCTGCCATTTTACGTGGAGATTCATGGCCCTCTGAAGATACACTTGAACCAAATTCTGGTATATCTTCTTCAGCCTCACCATGTTTAAAGGTCTGCCTTAGATTCTCTTGCTTATTCTGAGACATCTCCAAATGAAAGATCATCTTCTCTTGCTCAAGTGTGTCATCAAGATTGAGCCTGAATATGTCATCCCTTGGTTCAAATCTCTGGTCCAATTCCATTTTTTCATTTTCGCACTTCTTTAAGTGCATTGATGGTCTATCTTCCACCATTACGCCTGCTTTTACCGCTTTGGTTTCATAATCATCCACCAGCCAAGGCTCGTCCTTGTGAATCACAGCTCTTTCTTTTGAACTTCCACGGTCATTAAAGGAACCCCTGAAACTAGTTTCTGCTCTCCCATTAGCATCCTTGTCTAGATCAAGCATTGTCCCTAGCTCATACTCACGGCGACTAAATGTTAACGCTCTCTCTGAAGTCCACTCAAATGTCTCATCCACTTTCATTGATTCATTTTCACCCTTGTCCAAGTCCAGGGATACCCAATCTTCTGTTATTTCGCGTACTTGTAGATCTTCGGTTCTGCTATCGCTCACCAGCTGGGGCTCCTCCTCGTGAAACACAGCTCTCGCTTTTGAACTTTCATGGTTATTGAAGGAACCTGTTGAACTAGTTTCCGATCTTCCATCAGCATCCTCGTTTGGTTCAAGCATTGTTCCTAGCTCAGACTCATGCGGCCGAAATGTTGGTGTTCTTACTGTCCATTCAACTATCTCTTCCAATTTCGTTGAATCATTTCTGCACTTTTCCAAGTGAAATGTTGGTCCATCTTCAACCACTACACCAACTTTCAGCTCTTCGGTTTTGTTCTCATCCGCCAGCCAAGGCTCCTCTTCATAAGCCACATCTCTCTCTTTTAAACTTTCACGGTCATGAAAGAAATCCGTTGAACTTGATATTGATCTTCCATCCGCATCATCTTCTGGTTCAGGTATTGTCCATAGTTCATACTTACGCAGACAGAATGTTGGAGCTCTTTCTGATGTCCATTCGTGTGAATTGTTTTGATATTCCTTCGACTGCAACCCGGCTTCATCTCTCATCGTCTCTTCCAGATAAACTGGTTCCATTGTTCTGTAGGAATTTTGGACATTATCGTTTTGTGGCGCCATTTGATGAGATACCGACCGATCTTCGCTTGTTTCGCCTATGATTGTTTCACTCGCCTCTACTCCGACCATATTGCCTTGCTCAAACGTTTCATTTGTCTCATATCTACACTCCTGTAACTCAGACCTTACTATGTCAAAAACTGTGTAACTCAACACTTCTCTCTCGCTTGAGTTCTCATACTCATACTGGGACTGATCTTCTTTATTAGCTTGAGTTCTCACACTCTTTTCTGAACTTCCATGGTCACTGAAGGAACCCTTTGAACTGGATTCTGATCTTCCATCAGCGTCCTCTTCTGGTCCACATATTGTCCCCAGCTCATACTCATGCATATGAAATGTTGGAGCTCTTTCTGAAGTCCATTCAAGTGGTTTGCTGTAATTCTCATAGTTGCTTTCATATTCCTCCAAATGCAACCCTGCTCTGTCTTCCATTGTCTCTTCCCATGCTCTTTCACCTGCATACCCGCTTCCTTCTAAACAAACTGGTTCGAGTGTGTCATTGGAATTTTCTACATACTCGTTTGGAGAATCCATTTGATGAGATTCCGATCTCTTTTCACCTGTCTCGCCTTCTATGCTTGTTTTGAATGTTTCACTCTCCTTCGTGAGAGAAAGAACAGATCCATCTTCGCTCACCTTGCCCGGCTCAAGAGTTTCATTTGTGTCGTATCTAGACTCCTCTAACTCAGACATGACTCTGTCACTAATGGTCTTATCCGACTCTTGTCTTTCGTTTAAGTTCTCATACTCATACTTGGACTGCTCCTCATGGATACTGGATGTTGTAACTGTAGCTTTACCTGATTGGTCAGAATCTCCTATAAAGCGCTCGTTTACCAAAGATTTCAGGGGACTCTGTGGTGTAGCTGGCTTCGCATCTGAAAATTTGTTTGATATGTGCTTTGTATCTTCATTGACCGATGTATCCTCAAATATTTCAACATTGCTTGAGCCGCTGTCACAGAATGAATCTTCAGTGTCTCCCATGATATCTTCCCATTTACGTTCACCTCCATGTTCTTTATTTTCTTGAGTGTCCACCCAATCAAACTCTTGAGTGTCTCTGGTGTTCTCAAAGAATACGCATGTTTCACTCACATGTTCGTTCTTGTTTGCAGGTTCTTCACCATGAAATACCAGTCTCTCTGCAACTGTCTCAGCTTCCGAACTTGAATAACTCATTCTTTCGTTCTTGTATACTGGAACCTCTAAGGACTCACCTGATCCGTTTCCAAATATCTCTTTTGGCTCATTCTTCTCATATCCAGACTCCTTTAAATCGCACCCGACTCTTTCAACAATGTTATCATCCATCTCGGCCGACTTCTCTGACCAAGCTTCCTCAGATTGCTCTACATGAATCTGTGAAGTCTCTCCAATAGACTCACTTGATTCAGGTTGTTGTTTCTTTAACTTGTGGTTCGGGGAAGGCTTCCACTGAGGCTGCAACGCCTCCGATTCCGAATCTAAAAATTTGCTTGATATGATCCTTATGTCTTCTTTAATAATCCCCTTATCCTCAAATGTTTCCAGATTCTGCCTCAAGATAACAGCATCGGTGCTTTTGCAGATTCTATCTCCAGAGCCGCTGTCTGAACTCGACAGATGACTATCATCCGGAAAAATCTCTTCTCGACCTTCTGAAGCTGAATCCTGATTAATAGTAAGAGTCTCATCAGCAAAGCCCGTACCGGAACCCACAAAGTTAGGTGAATCGAGAACAGTTTCTGTTTTCTCTCGAACAGAGAACTTAAGTACACCTGCACAACTGCCACATCTCACTTCGTATCTCTTATGTTTGCCGAGGAGAGACACCTGAGGAAGCTGTAGAAGTTCCAAGCAGTAGGAACAAGTTGCAAAAGGCGCTCCACCCGCTGTAGGAAGAACATGACGCTTCATCACAGGATTCCTCTTTCTGATATACTTCTTTTTGTCCTTAAGAGAGCTCTTCTCACTACTTGTCTCACTTTTGGAAACTCCCCTGGAATGCTCAGAGTATGTAGCTGCTTGATAACTACGCTCAGAGTACACAGAGCGATGCGGGGTTGCAGAGCTACTGGATTCATAGAGATTATGATACTGAAGATCATGCAGCTGAGACTGAGAAGACCCCTGATAGTACCTTCCATCAGATGTCTCACCGGGAAAACGAATCGGTGAAGCAACAGAAGATTCTTGAAACCAGCCTTCTCTTCCGTATTGCTTGAAATGGTTTGGTTGATAATGATAATAAGACTGCTCAGATGCAGAAACTTGAGACCCGTGGAAAGGACTACTGTAGCCATATTCATATGCAGAAGAAGAAGGAGAAGGACTAGCTGGATAGTAAGGAACCCGAGGCGGCTCTTCATATCTCCCCTCATGCTGTGTCCACTCCGAGGCATTGCTGCGTGAGTGATAAGGAGAGCTTCTTGCTGAAGCAAACATATCAGAATCACCACCGGTCACACTGAAATCATCAGCCCTTCTCATCCACTCTCTCCGGATATTGGATGTCTCATTCTTGTAAACAGTTTCTGAATGATAACCTCTTTCAACAGAAGGAGATACCCTCCGGTGAGTACTCCTCATTGGAGTTTTACTACCACCTTCTGCAGATCCTACCTCGTTACTTAAACTGTGGTTTTGAGAAGAGAAGAGAGCCTCTGGAATTGAGTTATCATTTCCTTCCAATTCCCAACGTTTTGCTGCTTTCAAAGAAAGAACACAAGAAACAAAAATCACTAAAAGCAAGAAGGAAGGTTGTAAACATGAGTATGGTTTAGGGGGAATTAAGAAGAGTGTTGTACCTTGGAGAATCGAGTCACATCCACTGCATTTGTAAATAGTCGCGTCTATAGGTTCTTGGAGAAGCTTGTGGCACTTGGGACATCTCACGATTCTAGACTGAGAAGACAATCCGGGTGCGGTTTTACCCCTCATGCCTCTGAACATATGCTTCAAGTCTTTACCACTTGCCAACTACAGAACAAAACAAACACAACAGCTCAAATCCAGAACCCGGCAATAGAAAAAAATCGAAAATCAAAGAGAGAGTGAGAGAAAGAAGATGAAGAGAAGAGAGAGGAGTCACCTTGGAACGGAAAATGGAGAGGAGTCTAGGTGACGGTGAAGAATCTGAGGATGGCTCAAGAGTTTTCTTGGGATTTTTCTCGGTAGAAGATTGGGATCTGCTCTGTTTCTTCTTCTTCATCATTGTTTGCTATATTGACTTGTCCCTTGATGTATGATTTATTTTTCTTCAGTTTGTATAATTCTTTGTTGGTGATCTTTCAAGCACGCAAGTAGGAGGAGGAAGAGATATAATATGAATCAGATCAGGCAAAAAGAACTACAATAACATATATATAAATATATTCATATAAAAATCAAAATGTATAATAGTCAAGGTGATGAATGATGATGGTTTAACAGACTTGTACATATTAGTTTACTTGTTTATTTTATTGATTTATATTCTTCTTTCATTTGTTTTTCCCTGCAAAATTAAGATCTGAGAGTTGCATTGATCTAAGACTTGTTTGAGGTCCAGTTCCAAAGTCTTAACAATTTGGATTTGAAAAGTCAACTTTGGAGATCGCCCATAAACAGGCCTTTTATTGTCCTCTAGATTCATTTTTTTTTGGTCTTTTCTATATAAAATAGATTGTATCTTTCTGTATAAGTAAAAAGGACCACTTGGCGTCATGGTTTGATCATAAGTTTAAATAAGAAAATAATTCAACGTGCATCTTAGTAATTTTGCCAACATAAAGCGAAAGTGTTATTGACCAATCCATTTTGAGTTTGAATAATACGTTAAACCTTTCTAACTTTTATGTGATTTTTCTTTCATGTCTATGTTTATTTTAGATACTCGCTACAAAATTCCTATGGAAAATTCTTTCTTTCTATACCGTGTTTGACAGTTTGTTCAGGTTTCAAACCAAAAAAAACAGTGAAATAGAAACAAAATGCATGTTTAAAACTAATAAAGAATTTTGAACAAATATGCAGAAGAGGAAATTAATTTACTGTTGGAAATATTACAAACATTTGGTAAAAGAGAAAGCAGATGCATCCGCACAAAAGATCTTTAAATTAGAACCATGGTTGCTATATAACCTTCATCACCAAATTCTTCTCCATCTCCATGTTTTTTTTTATTGTCTGAGACAACGTTAAAAAAGAATAACATAAACATAGTAACAAATAAAATCTGTAAGAATAGAAAAACCCAACGTAACAAAAACAAAATCTCTTTTGCACTTACTTCATCCACAAGTAACTTCTGGAAATCATTTCTCTGAACAAATTTCTGACAGACAAAGGAAAAAAACCGAACTCTGTTCTGTAATGTTCTGTTCTGTGTGTTTGGAGTTACAGTTTTCTGAGAAGGAGATCTGCAGCTGCAGCTGTTTTCTTCTGAAGCTCTGAGGTTTCAGCACCAACAAGTTTATCCATTTGTCTTCCATCTTTAAGGAACACTATAGTTGGCGTAGCTTCCACATTCCACTCATTACTAAACTCCTGTTTTTGTTGTTTTTCACCAATATTCAATCTCACCAGATTAATCAATCTATCATCTCAAAATCACAAGTTTTCAGTTTACTTACAGCGAGTTCTTCAACATCAATGGTTACAAATATCATTGAAGGGTATCTAGAAGCAAGTTCTCTGAATACTGGTTCTATCTTTTTACAAGGTACACACCATGGCGCGCTGAAATACACCACGAGCTGTGTATTGATTGAATGGATTATGTTGAATGATTAGGATAAGGAAAAAAAAAGGAAGAATTGAAGAAAAAGCTTAATTTTTTTTTTCAAAAAAGAAAAGCTTACAATCTTGCCATTGTTGTTAGCTTCTGTGATCTTTTCTTCCCATTTCTCGATTTTGGTTACCGGATGGACCCTTCCTTTGGAACCATGTTGGCTTCGGGTTCGAGCCTTGTTGTTGCTGCTGCTGCAGCAGCATATACATGACCATAACTGCATGTACACACACATATATATGGAGTTTTCTGTAACCGGTTTCTTAAAAATAGATTCTTTATCTTATCTCTGAAGAATTATTCAATCGCTACAAGTCTCAAACATAATATGTTGTGGCTAACAAGGAAACCAAAAACGAGACATTTGAGGATTTAATCATAATACCATTGTACAACAAGGAGTTCTTACACAGCGATTTCCCATCATCTCTTTGCACAATCAAATAATCCAGATTTGCTTCTCATTGGCTTCAGCATTCCCTCCCTGAATCAAAATCAAAACCAAAACCTATTTTAAATATTTCGCAACAATATATCGTGAAATAGAGAATAATTCAAATGACCAATCTCATTAATTTGTGCTGTTGATCGAACCTAGGTAAGACAAGAGAAGAGAATTTGGGAGAGGATTAACGTCTAAATCAGAACAGTTTCGCCCTAACGACAAAGCATTGAATATCAACAAAATTTGTGTGGAAGATTCAGAAGAAAAACACGAAGAATCCAGATAAGGAGGGAAGCACAAGAACATTCGGTAAAAGCAATGAGGACGTGTAGTCTTGGTTTCCTCGATGGAGAACTATATCTTCTTGACGACGCAGGTGGTTTTGTTGAAACATAATAACTGATTGCTAATTTTGTAAAAAAGAAATCGGTCAAAGACAACATAGATATGATAGTCTCATACAGCCTTGACTCTTACGATTCTGTATTGGTTTCTTTTGTGCTTAAACCGGTACTATCCGGAAAGACTAAACCAGTTTACATAGGACCAAAGCCTCTCCTTGATGAATCATAAACCAGCAACACTAACATACTTAACATAATCTGAGATTTATTCTGAAAAAAGTTTGAAAGTTAGAATTTTTTTGAACAGATTCAGTGATTCCCGGTGATGTTCAATATCCACTGACGATGTTAAGTTTGTTGTGCGAGTATAAAATAAACGACTAAGAGCCTTCTTTTTCGAGCTTCTCGATTTCTTCACGTTGCTTCCTTTCGGCTTCTTGAAGTTCTCTTTCAGCGTCCTCTTCCTCTTCGATTCTGTCAAGATTATCAAACTCTTTGGCTGCTGCCATTGCTTTTACCACAGGATCTCTCAATTCAGATATCAAACCACCACCAACTCTGTACTCTTCTTCATCGCCAATAAGGAATAAACGTTGATCAGGACCAGACGCCATTGGAATATCCACTGCCAGTAGCTTCATGTCATACTGAACAAAAACAGATATGAACATGAGAATTACACCAAAACTCGCTCTGTGATAGAATTGGGAGCACTGATGGATTCAGATTACAATTTCTTTTATTTCACATAGTACTAGGATCAAAGAGCTAATGAAGAACGCAGAACCAACCGTAGCAAAGAATCAAAGATAGAAGCCTAGGTTTTGTCATGGAGAACCAGAAATCTCTCCTCGCCAACAATAGGCCAAAAGATTCGACATACTAAACATCATAAGCCTTTTCTATTTATACTCAATGACTAACAAGCACTTGTGGCAGTGGAAATGAACTCTTACCAAGCACCTGAAATGTTTACAAGCCTTAATTTTCCGAGTATTCTTTGAGGACTTTCTAGAGCAGATTACTAGCAAACATAATGATACTAATATGGACAATCAAGAGAGAGTGTATGCAGAGGGAAAGTAGATGAAGCAAAAACCTGGCCTTTTTTCTTCTTGACTTCGACACTAACGAGGCCCTTTCTCTCAGCACCTTGAACTGGGAACAGCAGAAAGCAACGCTTGCTCCTAATTGTTGGCTTGAATTTTTTTAATGTTATGCCACCGCCTGACATCACATAAGCACGTAAATCCGATCCTGCCAGAGGAGCACCCATCACTTCAAGAATATCAGCCGCTGTATTGAGCTTCCTCATGGCAATCCTATAAACTTTATCAGGATTTATTGTGAACCTCGCACGAAGGTATAAACCCTAGCAATAGAAAAATACAGATAGTTGTATGACTTATGAGACAGTGAGTTATGACAACAAAACAAAGTTAACAACAGTGTTTGCAATTCTTGATAGAAAGTTGAAGGTCATAGATTACCAAAACAGAGCAGTTTGCCAAAAAAGAAACAATATTGCACTAGATTAACAAACGCAGGATTGATTAACAACTCACAATCAGAGTGAGCCTATAGCTCTAGTCCTGGTTCCCTCAAAGCTATCTCAAATCCTCAATCTGACATCCATCCACTATGAAATAATAACCTAAAGTTTGAAATCAATAAAACAGTTCTACAACTTCATTTTATCCAGGATAATTCATCAATTCTAAGTCGTATCTAAGAACCAAGATAACCCCAAGCTATTAGAGATGAGCCCAGAAACAGCCAGAAACTTACAGCAAATGCGACAATGGCAGATGAGAGAGCAAGGAACCCGTACTTAGCCATTCCCTCTGAGAGACCGACGAATGTGCTAGCAATTCCAAACATGATCCTCCACAGGAAAATACATACAAAAACACCTACTGCTCCAAACACCACAAGATTATTCTTCTTCCAAAATGCATCAACGTGCAACCCTAAAGCCTCTCGGTATCTACCAAAAGTCGAACTAACAGCTTTGATTGGCTTGTCAACAACCTTTCTAGCGAAATTCCCATCGACTTTTCGAAACCCAGAGCTTGAAAACAATCTAAAAGCCGATGCAAAGTTCGTATTAACACGGGGCTTAGCCATGGCAAGTCCGCAAATCTGCAAATTAGGTACGAGCTTAGGACGGGATAGAATCTGGGATAAGCCAAGGCTTGTCGAAGTGGGTCTCGACGAAATGCTGTGGAAGCTGGACTTAGGCTGAAACTGAGAAACCCCATTTGAAGGAAAAGCCGGAGAAGACGAAGTGAAGAGCTTCGACCGGCTAAATGTGACAGGGTTTGCTCGACTGTAATGCAATTGAATAAGTCTGTAAACTCCTTTGAAATCAGAGGGTTTCACCATCTTTTCAAGAGACCCAAAAATCGGATATATCCTCTTTTGATTGAGGCTTAAGAAGAAAATACGAGCGACGAGAGTTTGATGTATGGATCAACGATGCTTCGACCGCAAGATTTACATTCGGATTCGATCACTTGGGAGCGAAGAAGATAACCATTGTCTTTTCCGTCACCGGAGCGGCGCTTATTTGACGGTTTGCGAATTGAGGAAAATGGACCGGGTCGAGTCGGATTAAGCCCATTAAGATATCTAACAAAAAGATTGTGAATCTCACGAATCAATATCGATTCTTTGCTTGTATTAGAAAAAAGGTTAAGACGACAGTTGACTAATATATATCCAACCTATAAAAAAGAAAAGAAAAGCAAATAAAAAAAAAAGAAAATTTGTAACGAAGATAAAATCATTGAAGTAGTTTACAGAGGAAGCTTCTCATAGCCAAGTCATTGAAGATAGCAAAAGCCTCGAGATCATTCGTCATTGAAGCAGCATTTTCTTCCTCAGGGATCGCGTTTTGTTCGTCGGTGAGGATTTTGTTCATCGCATTTGGTTTCATGCGCGAATCAACGACCGGTCAATTTTCGTTTTTTTTCTCCCCTTATTCTTGCAGTTCTTATTGTTTGATCGGAATCTTTAAATTTTGTGGCTCTGTTTGTAGATTTTTTTTTTTCTCACGGGATTGTTGAATTATATACGAAATTAGAATTGCAGTCATTAGGATTTAGGAGTATGAACTGCTTGCTGATCATAATGTATGATGAACAGATAGGGTTTCCAGGTAGACGAGGTTCGATCATGGTGGAAAGTGATTTTTTACATGGCTTTCTTTTGGAGCCTTATTATTGGAAGTGATATTCCGAGATATTGACTCTGACGATAAGGCATTGTATTAGTCTTTGTTCAATATATAAGATTCTGGAGGGTTCAGTGTCGCATTATCTTTGCTTTGATTTTGAGTTTCATTGATGTCTCTTCTGATTAGCTACATGACAAGGGTTTGGCATGACTCAAACAATTGAATTTTTGTCTTTAGGCTCCTTTGTTTGCATCTTCTGGACAGGGTGTTTCATAATGTGGGATCAATCTTAAATTTTGTTTTTTGGGTATTGATTTCAGCTTGCAAATATTGTTACGCCTCGCATAGCAAAGAAAAATGAGTTCAACGGTTTATGAATCGCGTAATACTGGCACTTCAGGCTCTTTTGGGTCTTCTGAACCAGATTTTGGTGACAGTGATGAAGCAGAGTTGGTTTCTGTTTCTTGGAATCAGGATTACAGCTGTTTTGCTTCAGGCACGAGCCATGGTTTTCGGATATATAACTGTGAGCCTTTCAAGGAAACTTTCAGGCGAGAGCTCAAGGATGGTGGGTTTAAAATTGTAGAGATGCTTTTCCGGAGTAATATCTTGGCACTTGTTGGTGGTGGACCTAACTCTCAGTACCCTTCAAATAAAGTATTGATTTGGGATGATCATCAGAGCCGCTGCATCAGTGAATTCTCTTTTAGGTCGGAAATTCGTGCAGTGAAGTTAAGAAGGGATCGCATTGTTGTTGTTCTTGAACACAAGATATATGTCTACAATTTCATGGACTTAAGACTTCTTCATCAGATTGAAAATCTGGCAAATCCAAGGGGATTATGTTGCCTCTCTCATCATATGAATACATCTGTGCTGGCCTGTCCTGGTGTTCGTCGAGGAGAGGTCCGAGTTGAACATTTTGGGCTTAACATGGTACAAATCATTAATGCTCATGATTCCAATATCGCGTGCATGACCATGACATTGGATGGGTTGCTTCTTGCTACTGCCAGTACAAAGGGAACTCTGATTAGAATTTTCAACACAATGGACGGAACTCGTCTGCAAGAGGTCTAGATACTCTGAACTACTGCTTTCACTTTTCTTATCAACAACATTATACCATGTGCTGTGTGAGTCACATTTGGTTAGGCAATGGTTGAGCCAACATATCTGTCCTGATTCATATAGAAAAGACTTTGGTACCTGTAGTAACAGTTAATAATTAGTTAGACATAATCTTATGCAGAGCATATGCCAGTTTTGTATGCTCATTACCGATTCATTAGTCTGATATTATGAAATCTGATGCTGCTTTGTTACAGGTGCGAAGAGGAGTGGACAGGGCAGATATCTATAGCATTGCTCTTTCACCAAATGTGCAGTGGCTGGCAGTATCAAGCGACAAAGGGACTGTTCACATTTTTTCTCTTAGAGTGAGGGTTTCTGGGGAGGACTCACACTCCACTGAACATGAGACTTCTTCAAATTCCCTGCAGTCTCTTGTTTCTCCAGCCAGTGGTGTCAACCCCGGTTCGTCATTGTCATTTCTGAGAGGTAATGTAGAAAGTATAGGAGAAAACTGGAGAAATGACTGTTACCGAAAAGGCTTAAAACACATATCTCATATATTACGCACTCTCGTCACCAAATTCAGGAGTAGATTTCATATTTATAATTGTGCGCATGGATCAACACATGCTTCAGTCTTGTACCTAATATTTTCAAACAATGTTGCAGGAGTTCTGCCAAAATATTTCAGCTCGGAATGGTCATTTGCTCAGTTTCATGTACCAGAAGTCACCCAATTCTTTGCAGCATTTGGTGCTCGTAACACAATTGCAATTATCGGCATGGACGGAAGGTAATAAGCCTTCTGGTATCTCTCCAAATATAATTCGCATAATCATCCACAATTAGCCATATTTGTTTCCACCACACAAGTCAGAATATCAAAAACATAAAAGAACCAACAGCTACGCGTCTGATTTTGTCGGCCTTACAGTTTCTACAGGTGCAATTTCGATCCAGTGAACGGAGGAGAGATGACTCAGCTTGAATATGTCCGCTTCCTGAAGCCGGAGATCCTAAGATAGTTAGAGCGTGTGATCGGTTCAAGTTCTACGTACATAACCACTGGCTCTGTATATAGCTTTGGTGATAACTGCATCAGAATTTATTCTTCCATACTTTTACTTGATTGAAGGAACTGCATTCTTGATTGGGACAATGTACATACCCAATATATATCTCTTAACTCATTTCTAGTGAATCTAAACTGCCATACCTTTTGATTCAAGTTACAGATTATTAAAATTTAATACAGAATGTGGTAAATTACATTAAGACAAAGGGATAGGCCAAGTATAACCTTATTTCTAGGAGCAGAATCAAACATAATTTTTTTAGAAACAGATTTTTTTTTCCCCTGTGGCTACAGAGACTATAGTTTCGAAGACGAACCAGTCTTGAGAGCAATCATCACTTTTCCGATTGCCTTCCTATCCTTGATGGCCCCAAATGCTAGATTGGCCTGTAGATGAAACAGTAAGACTTTGTTTAATAACATGTGTTTGAGTAATCATTTCATGAAGATGAACTCAGTTTTACCTGGGAGAGGCTATAGGTATGAGAGATGTGAATGGTGATCAGTCCTCTGGCAAGCCATGAGAGTAACTCTCTGATGGAATCTTCAAGAACACTGGGTTGGTGGATTCTGTAGCTCCCCCAGTAAAGACCGTGCACCGTCCAGTTCTGCACCAAATTGTTTACAACTTAGAAGATCTAATTCCCTCAAGTGAAAAAGCTTCTTCTCCTCTCTCTTTCTCTACCACAAGTTTTGGAATCATTTATTTACCTTTACAAGGGCTATATTAGCGGGAATCACGGGGATTTCACCGCTGGCGAAACCGATCACCAGAATCTGAGCTCCCCAATTCAGAACTTTCATGGACTCCTTGGTGAGTTTCCCTCCTACAGGATCATATAGAACATCAACTCCTCTTAGCTTTCTTGCCTTGATGAACTCTTTGACGCTTGAAATAACATTTTCACTGCCTAGATCAACAACATGATCCACTCCCATTGACTTCAACAGCTGAATCTTCTCAGTTCCTCTAGGGAAAAAAAAAAACAAGAAAGATTCAAATCGAATATAAACCCAAACCAAGAATCAACGACCATGGAAACCTGTGAACCAGCACATACCTCGCAACTGCAATGACAATGGCTCCACAAATTTTTCCGATTTGAACAGCTGCAAGACCGACGCCACCAGCAGCTCCTAGAACCATTAAGACCTGCATCAAAATAAAATCAATGGAATCTCGTAACCCTCACAAACAAAAATTGAATCAGAGAGATGAGATGAGAAGAGATTTACCTGACCAGATGTTAGACGAGCTCTATGAACAAGTGCTACATGAGAAGTCCCAAACGCAACAGGAAGTGCAGCCACAGCTACCATGTCGCATCTTTCTGGTACAAGGAACCTGAAACAACATCAAAACGCTACAATCATTCACAGTAAGATATGCAAAAGCAAAAAACAGAGAGAGAGACGGCGATTTTGTGACGAACAGGCCAGACTGATCGGAGACGATGAACTGAGCGAAGGAACCGAGATTGGCGAAGGAGCAGACACGATCTCCGACGCGGAATTTGGTGACGGCGGGACCGATCGCGTCGACGATCCCGGAGTAATCGGAGCCAGGAATGAAAGGTAAAGTAGGTTTCTCCTGGTACTTTCCGAGAATCTGAAGGTAATTGGCGTAATTCAAGCTCGTAGCGATAACCCTGACTCTCACCGCCGTATCTGAGCTCAAAGGCGGGATCGGATAGTTCTTGCTCACCTCCACCGGAGATTCTGAACTCCCTGTCTCCGTCGCCGTCGGATCTCCCAATTTCCGGCAAACCAAAGCCTCCATTTCTGCTAGTCCCTCACTCTCTCTCTCTTACTGTTTCAGCCGGAATAATCAGATTGGATACTTATCGTCTAAAATAGTAAGTATATTAAGACATATGAAACGATGTCGTTCAACGGGCTTACCAAAGAGCCACGTCACCGTCGCCACCGCAACGTACTAAGCATAAAATTCGCCAAATTTCAGGGATTATTCAGATGCTCTTGCAGAATTGCCGGAAAGAAGAAAGGAGTTATTTACAATGGAAGATAGCTTCATGTTATCTGCTTATGTGTTCGTAAATTTCTTTGTTTTTCTCAGTCAACGTTTTGTAAAATTTATTTGTTAAGGTAAAATTCCTAAATGATGGTGCTTTAGATCTCTGTTCGTAACCGGATTAAACCGAACCGGGCTTTTTCCTTCAAAAGTCAACAAGAATGGCAAATGCCATTTGGTCGTTGCTTTCTGACTTCCTTAATCAAGGCGGAGAGATCTAGAGATCGATAAGAAATCTTCTCCTGTGTCTTGTTCGTTTCTAGTTATGACAGGAACATAAAAACCTTAAACCTATTTGCAACATCTTCACCATGGCTTCTAGAAGAAAGTGCAAGCTTGGATCGTCGTGAGTATCTTATCATATTCACTTCTGTCGTTTTGAATTGGTTTCTCTTTTTTTTGGGGGGGGGAGAAATTATCCGGTTACTTTTGTAGAGGTATTTGTAGAATTTGAGAGCTTTCGACCTTGCCTTTGAGATTTTGAGACTTATGGGTTTACTTTTACAGGTCGAACAAGAAGAGTAGGATGGAAATTGAAAAAGACCAAACTTTCTTAGACCTTCCTTGTGATCTCTTACAACTGGTAGTTTCCCGTCTTCCATTAAAAGACAACATCCGTGCTTCTTCTGTCTGCAAAACATGGCACAAAGCTTGTCTTTCTGTTCGAGCTGAGGAAAAATCTCCTTGGCTTTTCTACTTTTCGAAAACAGAGGAATCCTGTGAACTTTATGACCCATCGATGCAGAAAACTTACAAGCTTGAGTTTCCTGAGTTATCCGGTTCTCGGGTATGTCACTCCAAAGATGGTTGGTTACTCATGTACTAGGCCTGGGCATATTAACCGGACCCGAAAACCCGTCCCGGAACCGACCCGATAATCATGGTTCGGATCGGATTCGGATTTGATCTAATTACCCGATGGATCTTGTTCTGTCGACCCGTGGGTAATGGTTCGGATTCGGTTCTATGGATAGACCCGATAGTGTACCTGAAGTTTCCTCTTTTGATTTGATTTTCTCCAAACTTCTCTCGATTTTTCTCTGCATTTTCCAAATTCAATCCATCCGAGAATATTGCTGAATCTTCCCACCTCACCGACGATCTCGCAACACAATCTACTTCCCAATATCGTCTCGATCGATCGAATTATAAAAGCAACCTCAATTTCCAAGCCCCAACTACAAAACTGGAATCCCTAGCTGCCTTCTCTTCGCAATCTCCATCTCCTTCAACTGCATCGTCGAGAAATAACTCTGAGGTAAATCTCCTTCAATTGATTCACGTTTCAGTCGTCTTTTTCTGTGTGAGGTTGGTGTTTTTTCACATTTCTGTTAATGTTAGATTATGATTTGTGAGGTTTTTTTTGGCGACTGATGTGGTGTTTTTTTTTTTTTGATTGATCATTGATGCTTTGCTAAACTTGTCGAATGAATGTGAGATTGTGAGGTTTTGTTAACTTGGATGAATTTCACTGAATCAGTGATCTTATATCTGTCGACCGAATGTTATATTTCTGCGAATGATGTGGTGTTTTTTTGGCTTGATGTTTTGCTAACTTGTCGACTGAATGTGATCATGTGAGGTTTTGTTAACTTGTATGAATGTCAACCGCTGATATTATTGCACAAACATATATAGCAGATGATAGACACTTCTAAATGAACTTAAGAACTCAAGTAAGTTGATGTTGGTTTTGTTTGGTGATTGCTTCATTGTGTTATGTTCTGTGATACATTAGTGTTATAGTTACTTAGCTGAACTGCCGAAGCTTTAGAGATTGATCTGTTGAAGTTGAACTTTGAAACTTGTATGAAGTTTCAGTTAAAACGTTTATTGATTTGTTGTTCTAAACTTTCGCAGATGGCCTCTTCTGAAAATCCACCGAGCACTGATATTCCAATGCATGACATTGACGATGTCCTTGATGACACAGATGAAGATGTTGAAACTCCTTGTACTCAGAAGACAGGCAAGAGGAAAGAGTCTGCTTCTGAATGTTCTGGTTCTAAGGGTACAAAGAAGACAAGGTCGAAGATGTGGGAACACTACACCAGGCAGAAGAACAATTATGGTAAATGTAATTGTAACTACTGTGGCCGTGAAATGTCCTGTCCAACCAAGTCAGGGACTTCTAGTCTGAAGAAGCACATCGTTTTTGGTTGCAAGTCATACCGAGCATAGAAGGCTGCAAACAAAGACATGAACCAGACAGTGTTATCTCCTACCGGTAAAGATGGGATGCTGGGTTTAGGTAAAGTCTCTGAACTTGTCTGTAGAGAGGCTTCATCTGAGATGCTTGTTTTAGGGGAGTTGCCATTAGCGTTCATAGAGAGTGTTGCTTGGAGGCATTTCACTTCGAAATGTAAACTGCACACTCCTCAGTCCCGGAGAACAGCTACAAGAGATATTGTGGCAATGTATGTTGCACGAAAGGAGAAAATGAAGAAGATTCTTAGGGACAACAAGCAGAGACTGTCGCTGACAACAGATATATGGACTGCTCCATATACTAGTACGAGTTACATGGTGGTTACAGCCCATTTTATTGATGCATCTTGGAGATTAAGGAAGATGATCATAGGGTTCAAGAACGTTTCTGATCATACAGGATCAACGATTTGCAATGTTCTGCTGGAGGTTTTGGCTGAGTGGGAGATTAAAAGAGTGTTTACAATTACTGTGGACAATGCAACAGCTAACAGCTCGGCAATGAGGAGATTCAAGGAAGCATTTATGCAACAAGGCGATGATGCATTGGTTCTTAATGGTAAGTACCTGCATCTAAGGTGTGCAACACATATTTTGAACCTTATCGTGAAGGATGGTTTGGCAGAAGAAGATGATAGTATTGTTGCTATTAGGAATGCAATTCATTATGTCCGATCTTCTACAAACAGAGTTAAGTCTTTTGAGTTTCGAGTAGAGACAGGAAAGATGACTAGAGGAAGCTTGCCTTTAGACGTGAAGACCAGATGGAATTCTACTTGTCTCATGCTGGAACAGGCTTTAAAGTTCAGGTTGGCTTTTGAGAGGATGGAGGCTGAAGACAAACCTTATGGTGACCACTTTCTGGAACAAGTAGAAGGAAAAAAACGGATTAGACCACCAACTACAAGCAATTCGGATAAAGTTGACAGGTTGGTTCAATTCCTTGTTATTTTCTATAAATATACTTTGATTCTATCAGCTTCTACATCTGTGGCTGCACACAAAGTTTATAATGAAATAGTCACTATCACGTCAAACATTAGTGCTATTAGTACTTCTCCTGTAGCCGATGACTCTTTAAAGAGTAAAGCTTTAGCTATGATTGGTAAACTAGAGAAGTATTGGGATCCTTTTAGGGAGAAGAATGAAATGAATAGGCTTGTGATAGTGGCTAGTGTTTTTGATCCACGAAAGAAGATGAAGTTTGCCCAACTCTGTTTCGAGTCTCTATATGGAAAGAATAGTCACGCAGCTAACCAGCTTTATGATTCTATAGAGGACATTTTGAAGAGTTTGTTTGCTGAGTACAGTAGCTTAGTAGACAGGAATAGTTCTAGTGGATCACAGGGACCATCTTCTTCTTGTCCCAAGGGACATTTTCGCAGTCTCAAGAGCAAAATGGAGGTGATGTTTTTGAAAGAGGTCTTCTGAATCATGGTGTTGGGTATAAACGCATGGACAGCATTTACGATGAGCTTGTAGAAGAAACATGAGTTGGCGATTCAACAAATGAGCTAGAGATCTATCTGAAAGAGGCTGTTGACAAACCAAAAGTGATGAAGGGAACAGAGTATGATATCTTAGGTTGGTGGATGAGAAATAGTGGCAAGTTCCCTGTTCTTTCACTCATTGCGAAAGACATACTTGCAATGCAAGTGTCATCAGTTGCCTCTGAATCTGCATTTAGCACAAGTGGGAGAGTGTTAAGCCCATACCGAAGTTGTTTGACCCACTATATGGTTGAGGTGTTGATGTGTACTGAACAGTGGTTAAAAACTGAGATTCATATCAATGAAAGAGGAGTCTCAACTTGTGAACAATTGCTTGCAGATGTGGAGCTTGAAGATGAACTCATGAGGCGTAAGTTACATCTTTTTGATTTATCTCTTTGTCTTTGATTATCAGTTTCGGCTTATAACATCATTATTCTTTCTTTTTTTATGTAGAAAACGATCCTGAAGTCAACATACAAAGAGGCTGAGGCTGCTGATGTCGTGTTTGTGTCTTTGTGAACTTGGAAAACAAAAGGTAAGGTGGTAAACATTGCATATTGATAAGTGATGACTGCATTTGGGAATAGGTGAATAGCTCATGCTTGCGTTTTTGTAAATTTGTGGCCATTTGTTTACTGATTTGTATCTTTGTGTCTTTGTATATGTTGTAGGTGTTCACGCTCAAGTCTTGAAGCTCAACTTTTCAAGTGCTAAGATATGAATACGACCCAAAGACTCTTGCAATGCCTAGTGATCTCTACTTTTTAGGATTTTAATTTTTAAGTTCTTATGTTTTAGGATTTTGATTTGGTTTTATGATTTGTTCAAGTTTTAAAACTTTATTCAGTATTACGTTTCAGTTATGCACTTTTAACTATTGAGAACTTCAAATTTTTTAAGCAGTTTCGGTTTTTTAAAAAAAAATTTCGGGTTTAATAGCTAATTTCGGTTTAATTTTCGGTTCGGGTCCAACAAAAAACCGATCCGAACGGTTATCCTTGATTTTCGGTTATAATTCGGTTTTAATAATTTAAGTCCGAACCGACCCGTAACAGGTTAGAACCAGCCCGAAACCGAACCGAAATTTATCGGTTCTCAAATGGGTCCAAAAATTAATAACCGAAAGAACCGAACCCGGTCGGTTTTAACCCGGAACCGACCCGCCGAACCGAATGCCCAGGCCTATCATGTACAATGCCAATTCATTTCAACTCTTCTTCTTCAATCCGTTTACACGTGATCGCATACCTGTGCCTCCGCTTTGGATGGCATATGATCAGAGAATGGCTTTTTCATGTGCTCCTACATCAACTACTTGTTTGTTGTTCACAGTCACTCGTGTAAATCTGGATTGCATCATCATCAAGACATGTTGTCCTAATGCCTAAGAGTGGAGCACATTTGTGTTCAGTAATCGGTTACCGAGGAACCACAACACTTTCGAGCAGCTTGTTTTCTCCAATGGTGTCTTCTACTGTCTCACAAACACTGGATGCTTATCGATCTTTGACCCTTCTTTGAATTCCTGGACTGTTCTTCCCGGACTAGCTCCTAAACATCATGGAAGCAACGGATGCTTCATGGCAGAACACCAAGGAAAGATCTTTCTCATATACATGTACAACCACAAGAACCCAACAGTGCTTAAACTTGACCCTACAAGCTGTGAATGGACTGAGAGGAAAACACTGGGAGGCTTGACGATCTACGCAAGCGTGTTGTCTTCTGAATCAAGAGCCGAGCAGAAGCAGCCAAGTGGAATAAGGAACTGTTTGTGTCTCTCTGTGTTCCATGGATTCAAGAGGACTTGCGTATACTATAAGGTTGATGATGAGAGTATGATCTTCTTGAAGTGGAAAAAGTATGATCCTTATGCGAATATCTGGGTCATGCCACCACTCAACCTCCTTGATCTCCCTTTGTTTGATCAACTTCTCTAGTAATTGTTTGCAGAATTCTATTTCATAAAATAGTCAAACATATATTGATAATGGAAATGGGAATTTTCTCATAAGCTTGTAATAGTTACAAACAACTCTGGATTTCTGATATCACACTCATAAGCTGATAACAATGTTGCGTCCTAAATCAGAAAATCAAGCAAACAAACCAAACAAATCAGAAGTGCCAACCATATCAAACTGATGATCAGGCAAAAGAAAGAAACAACAAAAAAAAGTATGCTGCCTACAATAAAACTATGAAGCAACAATGGATGATCAGTGAGAAGCCAACTTTGCACCTTCCTTCCTTGAACCACACCACAGTGTGAAAGAGAAAAAAAAACAACACAACACACAGAACAACAAAATCCGGCGTCGGGAAAAAAATCAGGCGGTTGGTTAATGACAATGTCTTGCTCACCATTTGTTTAATCATCTGGCCCAAGCAGTGTAACCTGCAGATTTAAGCAAGCCTGTCATGTAAACCCCGTAGTTCTAAAACTGTATTAAAGTGCAAAACCACAGTAATTTTCAGAGTCTGATAATAGAGCAACTTAAACAGAAAGATTTCACATTCAGGATAGTTTTGCTTACATTGCAATCGAAAGCGTGTTTTCGAGCAAGGGCTATGGCTGCGTTACGTTCTTGTTCTGACTCAAATGTTAGTATGAAAGTTAGACTCTTTCTTGGTTGCCAGAATAACGCCTTGGCAGGAGCCTTGATATTGCCTCTAACTCCACAGAGCTGAATGATTTATACACCAAAAACCATATAAACTCAGTAAAAACATTTCGAAACTTCTTTCTTGTGAAAGAAACATATCAGGTCAGAATCTCTAGGTACCTGCATAGATGTCGAATATATTTCTCTCGCCTTTGTGATCCATCCTCGAGACAGCTTTATCCTCGTTTTTCCAACGGTAAAGACATGAGATCGAGATGCATAGTCTTGTCCATTCATCTGTGATATAATCACCTGAAGAAGAGTATGAAATGTCCAGAGCTTATTAGTATATGCAACTCTTTTCCCAAGAAAACCAGAAGAAAGTTATAACATACACTGAATTCACAATTAGATTTCCTCATCAGCGATTCTACGCGGGATTGCAAGCCAGAATCTGCAATGCAATGAGCAATTCATTTACTTCATTGTCCACTAAACAATATTTTGTATCGTCTATAGTTTTTATAATAACCAACCAGGATCAATTGGACCATCGGTTGAAACTGTGACTTTTTGTCCATTTGAAAGAATGTCTGCTTGTAAGATCCTTCCAACATCAAATGGTTCTGGAGCATATACTGATTGGTTGGCACCTAATAGAAAAGATATGAAATGCTCAAGCTAAACTTCATTTTACTAAAAACTAAATGATGAAGCTAACAGATAGGAGCAAATACCAGATATAGCTTCCCTTCGACTAGTTTCACATGCTGCACGGTACCACTGGATTGAACAGTTGGAAAGATCTATAGCGTTTTCTGGAGCATTTTCTGAGAAGACACGGATTCTTAAGCAAGAGCCGAGACTTTGTTTGCCTTCAAGAACAAATGGACAGGACTTGGATTCCTCGGCTCTCTTGATTATTGCTATCTTTGTTATGTTTGATGGTTGTTGTCAAAGGCAAGAACAAAAAAGTGAGTAAAGACCAAATTAACTGCAAATATGTTAAGAAACTAAATGCTGTGTTAATGCACAAAGAACATACCTCTTGATGGATTTTAATAGAATTCATATACTTCTCTTGGAGTCGATTTCTTAAACCATGAAGCTCATGTTGCATGCCCATCACCTACATCACAACAAAGGTTTATGAAGAGTTTTTGAACAGATAGAGTTAAAGTGCTATATAAAAGTGATGTAGCACCTTTGTTGGGTGATGCATACGTTTGATTTTCCTAGCTTCTTGAACCTCCTCGACCAATTTCTCCACATCCTAAGTAATGAAAACATTAAACTGATTATAAAATTAAAATGGTTACTATATATCACAGAAGAAATTAACAATCAAACTATGAAGCTAGAGTAGATGATACTAACCGGTCCCTGAGCTCTAGACGCTTCAGAAATCTGTTCCTGTTCTTCAAATGCCTCTCCAAGTCTAAGCACAACGGCTCTTGCAGTTTCGATCTCAGCACAAGCGAATGATTTTTCCTGGTTGACCAGTTTCTTTGCATCTTCTGAAGCCTGACATCATGAGACAAAACCATTAATCAGCTTCTTTTATGAGTCTTTCACAGTTAGAAAAGTAAGCAAGAGACAAATTCAGATGAGCAGAGGTATTCAATATTGGTGGGGGAAAAAGGAGACCTGCTTGAGGAAGTTTCCCAGTTTCTTCACTTCAAACTTTTCTTGAATTAGTTCACCTTCATTCTGAGTTAACTTGACAGCTAGAGCTTCTACCTGTTCACAACCATTACAATAAAACATTAATTTCACAAAAGCTACTTGAGAGAAAGTGGGATGACTTGAAGAGACTAGTTAAGAAACAATTTCTTGAAAAAATCTCATTAAAGAAATATATTTTAACCATGGAAATGGCTTTCTCCACATCTTCCTTGTTTTGCCCGTCCGTGCGTCCTCTCATGTATTCTAAAGCATCCCTTAGCTTCTTCAACATTACATGTCCCTCCAAAGAAGCCACCTCTCTTAATTTTGCCTAAATTTTTACATGAATTTCAACACAAAAACCAGAGGAAAAATGTTAATGTAAAACCAGAAAATAAATAAAAATTATACATAAAAATAAATCAAGAGCTTTGCAAAAAAAAAAAAAAACCTCATCAGCCAAACTAACAGCTGCAGCCAAATTCTTGTCAAATTTACTAGCGAGGTCACGGACTGATAGCCGCTTGTGCTGATCAGACAAGAGTTCGCTCTCTTTCTCGACGGTTTCTTTCACTGAAGGACCTTTTTCGTCTTCCTTTGGTTCCTCTATGATCTGATTATCAGGTCCTAATTTGTATGTTGGAAAATGATTAGAAGCAAAGCTCACATCTACTGATACTGTAAGACTTGATTCTGGTAATGTCCTTTCTTCGATTTCAGGACACACTTTCGTCATTTTTTGTTTCAGGATTTTTATCTGCTTTATATAACAACAACAAACCGCAAATCATTAGATTGATTCAATCCAAGAACATTCTCTTTTCACGAGATTATTCTATACAACAGAAAATGTACTAAGTTAAACAATAATGGATCAAATATTTGGAATTTGACAAAAGATTAATTTCTTTTATTGATCTGAATTGGAAGACAATTAGCTCTAGCTCACAGGTAAAAGGCTCAAGACATTACAGAGAAAATGCATTATACAATCGAACTAATTGAGAAAGAATTAGAGCATCAGAAGAAAATGGAAACCAGAAAGGATTTTTTTTATAAAAACAAATTTAAGAGTGCAGAATTACTTTACTCCTGCAACCAAACATACATCATGAGACACGACAAAACTCAGGGGAAATGCAAGTAGAATCAACTGGAAAAAAATACAAACTTACGGATAATATTCTGAAGACTCAGAAGCAGAGATTCTCAGGAAGAGAAAAGGAAATAGAGGAAGAAGAAGAAGAAGAAGAAGAAGAAGAATAAAGAAAATTGGGTCTCTCTCTCTCTAGTCTTCGTCGTTGGGCATCTTTTTTCTTTTTTAGCTTTTACAAAAGCGTCAAAGACGACAGGATAAATGGAAAATGCAGAGAAGAAAAAAGCAACACTTTTGTTCCTTTGAATCTTCTCTCTCTTTCTCTCTCTCTCTCTCTCTCTCTCTCTCTCTCTCTCTCTCTCTCTCTCTCTCTCTCTCTCTCTCTCTCTTTCTCTGTGTCTTTCACGCCATCATCGTTAGAAACTCAAAGAGTGCAAAAAAAAAGAAGAAACGATTATTTGTTGACAGTGTCCCGGTCTGGTCTATGTTTTGTTGGACGACGCGCTGTTACATGGCGTTTGAACCACACGAGTTGGCGCGAGTGTGATGAATCGTTGTGGTGGGCCCCGACCCATTGGCTCCATGGATTTTCATTTTCTTCCTTCTCCACTTTTTTTTTTAGGTTCCTTTTTTTCTTTTATTCACATTATTGATTTTGTGTTTCCTAGTTCGCTTTAGTTTGGATCTAATTATGATTCCTTAACCACCATTATTACTAATCGCCATTATTTTGCACCTTAAGCAAAGAATCTCATAAACAAAACTTTCAAATTCAAGTTGGCTTGAGTAGAGATGTAATGTTAGTGGATTTTATGTTTTTTGGGATTATTTCGTTTGATATATATGAATTAATAACCAAAAAGTAATATATATGCTAGTTAGTAGATTTTAATTCTTAAAAATGTTTTAGTTTTGTAAACGCTGATTTTTTATTCATAGAGAATGTAGATATATTTTTTCGAAAGTTACAAATACTTTTTCTATGTGTAATGTGTGTATACAAATCAGATAACGAATTCCGGACAAACAATGGATATTTGTGTCAAATTCTTCTATAACTTCCAATGTTTAACATGTAAAATCCATAATTAAATTTAGAAAAACTCAGTGTCTTTTCTAACCAAGATGAAAAGCACATCTAAAATTAGAAATACTATTATACAATCGAAAAATATAGAGTAACGAACATTATTGCAAAATATTTTGGAGAGTGGTGAGACGCTTTTTAACATTTGGCGTGTAGTCATGAGTACTACATTTGGTGGAATCTATGTATTAGTTGAAAGGTCAAACTCAATTAGTTTCCCCTAAAAAGACTCCGTTAACATCACGACTTATATAATAACTAAATTAATGGAAGTTCGATTTACATTCATTTTCTTATGTCTCTATCCCAACATCTAAAGTTAACCAATATTTAAAATGAGCTTTATTTCACTAAATCGTGTGGCATATCAACTGATAATCTACGCTGTGACATAGCAACGACTTCTACGCAGACTGTGCTAATGATTTTGCTAAAATTTGCCTATCTACTTTGGTATTACGATCTAATCAATGAAACAATTGGTTAGGTTGATAGTTATCTATTTCGTGGTCCATTGGTTTATTAATTATAGAACTCATCACCACATATTATCATGTTTAGACAAAAACAAAAAACAAAACAATTGGACAATATCATTAAAGACCATGCAGTAGAGTGGGGGCTATCTAGAATCAATAAAGACTTTAATTTTAAGGAATTTCCTTAATTAAATTCCAAAATAAAAATACATATGTAGTTAGTAATGTAATATTCTATCTTCACTAAAGTGTCAAAAAGGCTAAGCAGAGCATGTGATATTCTGGTCACGTTAACATGAATAGACGGTTCAGACATCATAATCTCACTTTTACTTTCTGTTTGTGGTATAACAAGAGAAGAGAGTACTATGATGAAAGACGCATTTGACTTTAATTAGATATCTATCAATTTAGTTCTAAATTAATCTTGTAAGCTGTAAAGTAGTATTTCTTACTTAATTAATAGATAATAAATCTATTTTTGTGCCTTAATAATGTGTTGTCATCTATGACTATAATTAGCTCTAAGCATTAAGCATTATGTATGGGGTCCATGGAATCCCATGAGCTCCTCTTACCAAACCTACTCGCCATCATTTTTTCTTTCTCACCTCTTTGTCTTTCTTTTGTTGGCTTTTACTTATTGTCTACGAAGACCATTTAGTTTTCTTTCTCTAATCTAATCTATAGTAAATAGTTTAACGATTATTTATCTTGATTGTACAAGAATTCCATCTGTGATTAAGATTGTTGTAGAAATTTTCTTCATTCTTTTTCATACGTTGGATCGGTTAGTTTGTAGCATCGATGATATTGGCAAGATCCAAAAGATCGGTGCTATACAACTGAAATTGGTTGGGTTGAGCAAATGGGGAAAAATATTTGGTGAAGATTCAAGTCTCTGTGATATAGAACTACTTAACTACGCAAACATCATTTACTATGATATAGAGATCATCACTTTAACTTTTTGCATATTCATATTGTATAAATCCCACTATATAAGACTTAAGCAAGATATTAAAATGAAAATACTAATTTTGTAAAAAAAACTAAATTAATGTATTATGCTTAAGGAACAACTGAAATAGTGCTTTAAGCATAATGTATTATTATACTTTATGTAGTTAAGTATAAAGTTATAAATGTTTGGTGGGCTTTAGGGCAGTAGAAGCACACGCAGAAGCTATAGCACAAGCAGTAGCACTTCAACTTAATCAAAAACGAGTTACAGACAACGGTGTATGACGTGTCAGGTTATCATTGGTTGAGAGAAACAGATTGGCGGGATGAAGTGGTTGCAGCGTCAATGGATGCTATAAAGAAATTTAGGGTTTTTAAGGGCTCATGAGCCACCGTGTTGCGATTCTCTCTTCTCATTTCTCATCCGTCTCCGCCGTCATGGCTTCCGAGAAAGAGGCTGCTCTCGCCGCCACTCCTTCCGATTCTCCGACCATGTAAGTCTTTCATTCCTCTGTTTCGATCTGCGTTTTCTCTTCTCTTCTTCCTTCTTCTTCTGATTAAAACTGCGATTTTGGGGATGAAATTTTTTAACGATAGAGAAAAGTTCGAATTTTTGATTTTTTTTTTGAAATATGTGGCCATTTGGGTCTATCTCTATAGCATTGCGGTTCTTCGAATGTAACGTTGAAATTGATTTGCTTCAATGGAGGAATTGCTATTTTTAGTCGAAACTTGTGAATCAACAAGATTCATAATCTTCAGGCAAAGCAGCTATGTAAGTTTTCGCAGTACTCTGTGATCTTCTTCCGGAACACTTCGTGTTAGCTAATGTAATGATGGATGAGTACAGTGGAAATATTTTTGATGGATTTGACTAATTGTCGTTTTGTGCATAGAAGAGTGAAACAGTTGCACAAGTCATAGAGATTCTCTCTGCTTTTTTCATAATTTCGTTTTCTTCTTTTGAGAATTATGATCTTTTGTTGGAAGACATGAATTGTTTTGTTTATGTCGGAACATGCAGATTTGACAAGATCATCAGCAAAGAAATTCCATCCACTGTGGTTTATGAGGATGACAAGGTACTGTTAATTCTACAACCTTTTCTTATATGTTCTCCCTTGTGTTGCAATAGTCTAATTCAGTGATACTCTTAAAGTATCCATTCAAAGCAGCACTGTGAAAATGGGACATTAAGTATTTCTATGCTATTCGTTTCACGTTCAATATGGTCTCTTCTTCATGACTGTTATATAGTTCAGCAAATCTCCCAGGTGTAGATTTTTCACTTCTACTGCAGCCTTAAGGATCAGTAATAGATTGCCTCTTAAGTATCTTGTGTCTTGTTAATATCCGTGTACCCAGCTTATTCTCAGCATTTGGATCTTGTATCTTCTATATAGTCTTTGGATTTTACGCTGTTTAAGTTTCTTTGTCATAATTGCAATTTTTTGGGATGAATTTATTAGCTTTAACAACCAAAACTAGTCTCTTAATATTTCACCACTAAAAAGTTTCAGTAGTTGTACATACTTCGTTATCACTGTTCCTGGTAGTTTTTCTCCACACTCATTTGCATGATTTTCCAGGTCTTAGCTTTTAGGGACATAACGCCTCAGGGTCCCATTCACATCCTCCTCATTCCAAAAGTAAAGGATGGCTTAACTGGCCTCTCTAAGGTACCTAATTCACTTACACTTCTCGAAGTTGAACACTCAAACAAATCGAGACAGAAGCTAAAAACGTTGAGAATTGTTAGGCTTGATCTCATTAAGAATCGTAAGCTAATAAGGTATTGACATGATACTGCAGGCTGAGGAGAGGCACATCGATATCTTAGGCCGCCTTCTCTACACTGCCAAGCTTGTAGCGAAACAAGAAGGCCTAGATGACGGTTTCAGAATTGTTATCAATGATGGTCCACAAGGCTGTATGTATTATATAGCTCTACTACTTGAATTAGCATATTCACCTTCACCAACACAAAACAAAGGTCACGTTCTTGTGGGTTTTTACAGGTCAATCGGTGTATCACATTCATGTTCATCTCATTGGGGGACGCCAAATGAACTGGCCTCCTGGCTAAAAATATCATCTACAAGTGATTGTTGTCGTGGTCATAACAGGGACGGTCATAGTTTGCTATCGTCTTCTTCTGTCTTTATAAATAAAAAGCTTGGGACATAACTTTATGATTGTTATGCAAAACCTTGTTTTATATTATGAAGATTGACTTTTTTTCTTGGATCTTGTGATTTTTGTTTTTAATTAATGTTAACTTTTAAAACACTCGATGGTAAGAAAGCTTGAACCTTTCAGGTAAGAAAGCTTGAACCTTTCAGAGAGCCATCTTTGACCAGAGACACATGAATTGACCTAGTAAACAATTCACTACGTGTTGATGACCATCTGCACATAATATTAATTATATAAAAGCTTGGTAGCGGTCACGTATTTGCTGTTTTTATACGTCTATGTAGACCTTCTCGTTGCCTGAAATTAAAGATTTGGAATTGTTTCTTCACCAGAATCAATCTCTCATCTTATAATCTTTTTACGGAAAGTTAGTTTGCAATCTGATTCATGGCGGAGGCGAAACCGAGGACGAGTTTGACCGGCAGTAGCAGCAGAGAGTCGTTCAAGAGCAAGAATCCGTTTAGCCGTATGATGAAAGACGAAGATGAAAGCAAAAACAAGACAGGATTGTCGATGAGGAAGTCGTGGTCCACGGACTCGCTTGGTCTGCTCAGTAACAGCAACCGGTTGGGGAAGACGTGCGTTTGTGCTCCAACAAAGCACGAAGGGTCGTTCCGTTGCAGGCTTCACCGTTCATCGGCCACCAGCCAAGGTGCAGCTACTACGCAACTTCATCTCCCAAAGCCCTTGCTTTCTTCTAGTCGTCTCGACGACTAACAGTCTCTTGCGTTGTTCACATAAATCAATATGGTGCTGTCGTGGTTGTATTGAAGATTGTTCTTGCAGTCTTGCGTAATTCACAAGAACTAATATGGTAACTTATCGGTGAGATTTTGAAATATTGTTCTTTTTCTTGGGCTGGTTTGGTTTGACCATGTGCTAATTTATTTGGGAGGCCTGCAATTCGCAGTACTGTATTTCCTGACAAGAGTATCCTTCTAATATTTGTTATGACAAAGAAAACAAAAGAATCAAGGTTTGGTTAATTCACTCATTAGTACAAAAATGGTAGAAGTTTTTTCTTTGTTGACATACATAAACTTTGAGTTTCTCATAACAAAGACAAATAGGAAGCAATCTCAAAACATTGTCAAATGAACATTGCCAACATTCAAGCGTTGATCAAACCGCAGTATCTTCACATGCCTCCTATTAATCTTTAAGAACCGCCGAATACCTAAAATTAGGGGAAAAGATAAGACAACTTTGAATACAAAATAAAGACAACATTATTCTTTCAAAAAATAAGATAAAAGAGGACTGACCGATGCTAGGACATCCGTGGAGAGCCCAGGTTTGCTCTGAGATGTCTCATTTTTAATAGATTTCTTCTGTCTAAACTGTCGAATCGCCCTAGGCGGGAAGACTGGTGCTGCTTCAGCATTGCTACCCGATTCTTCCTGAATCTTCCGCTTCTGCCCACCGCAAAATACAAAACCAAACATCAAGTAAGACTAGTGAGATTTCCAGAGGGAGAAAAAAAGAAATATAATTCCTCCAAACAGGAGTATAACATTAATTTTATGGAATTAGAGTGTAAAAAGAGACCACAGAGCTACAAATTTTCTCAGGCAAGCAAACATCGACCACATATGAAAAAGAGTTTTTTTTTTTTTTTAATTTACAATAATTGAAAGAGTCACCTTCTTCATTCGTTCATCTATCTCGGTCATGGCTCGCGACTTCTCTACTTTCGATAGATAAAAGTCCTTCTCTCTCTTAGCAGCAGAAAGAACCATATTTAATTTCTGTTCCCGGATTGCACTTTTGTATGCTGCAAACAGCAACCCTTTGTAGATTAGATATCATATAAAGGTAAATGGTCAATGACGTTGAGCAGAGAAACTGTGCAGTAAACATTACCGATTTCTTCAGTAAGATCATCCCATTTAAATTTGGTCAAGTATTTGATGTTCCAAATATCATAGTAAATAGCTGACTTCTTTTTTCCCCCTAAGAAAAGAAGACAGCCCACATTAATAAACATTTAAGCTTAAGATTTAATCTATTGACTATGGATACTGATATGATTCATTAGGAATACCGATTTGCTCGCCATTTAGCATCTCTGCGACCCTTTTAGCTACTCTTTTCTTACCAAACTCCACCCACCTACAGTTAATTAACATAAGAAAAACCTTGTTAGCAATACAAAGAAGAACCTAGATGATCACATTGGACAATTGTTTTGAAGTTCTATATGGATATCATAAGTCGAAAATTACAATCAGGTGAGAAAAAACTGTATCTTTAAACGTACCCTTCAGAGAAAAGTTGCCCACGGAATCCACCAGCCCGCTTACGGTGCACTTGTGCTTCAGGATCTGAATAGAAATCGATGAATGCATCAGCCAAATTCAAATATAGAAGCACATATTGATATGAACAAGGACCCAAAAGGATAAACCTGACCTTCAGGTGCAAGATAAATCCTTCCGATTTCTCCAAATTGAGAGAGAATCTGGCGAAGTCGAACGTGATCCATGTGTGGTGGGATGCGACTTAGGTAGCAAACTCCTCGATTGTCAGCCTTAGCAGCTTCCTTTAGCAACCTCTCTTTCAACTTCTTCTTTTTTCTATCAGCCTTTTGACTCTTCAGTCTTTCCTTGGACTCCTCCTCCTCGGATATTCCATTCACAACCTCGTGAGATTCCTCGCTCTGCATCGTCTTCAATAGCTTCAGAAACAAGGGGGCAAAACCATTACTAAAAGAAGCAAACTTTATGTACAGTAGTGAAAGAAAAAAAAAATCTTCAAGTCAATTACAAGGCTATGCACCTACAATGCACCAATTGCATGAATGTGTAGACTTTTCATTCGTGACATGCAGATGAAAGGGATCCTAAACCTAGACAACGAAAATAGCAAATTTTAATTGCTGAACTTTATAATCGTTTTTCTACAGATGAAAACGAATCTCTTTGCGATTCAATTCAAAAACCATAGACCATATTCCAAATCCATTAAAAGTGCAACAAGCAGACCCAATGGACTGTTGTTTGATGTAAATTGAGAGACTGGAAGTAGAAGGAAACTGGAGAGAAATCATAACGAAACAAGAGCAATCCTTTCTTAGATTCTGAAAGAAATAAGCAAAACTTACCGTAGAAAAGAAGAAGAAGAAGCTAGTGACGTCGGCGACTGGTTCCCTCGGTTCGGACGAAGAAAGAAGACAGACGAATTTCCTCTCGGTCGCTTTGTTAGGGTTTCGCTAAAGAAAAATTGTCAAAATCTTTCTTTTTAAAAACCGGTTTTTCCGTATCCGGTTATCAATATTCGGTAAGAAAGTATGAACCGGTCTATCACTATCTCAACAAGTATTTTGAGAATCGGATTGCTATGAATTGCTGAAATGAAATTCACGATTTTGTTAGGTTGAATGGATATGAGTTTGACCCTTGTTAAAATTAAAAATATTATTCGTTTTCATTACATTATCGACATAGATTTATTAAGATGAAACGGTTGAAAAGAAAAATGGAAATTTTGACTTTAGAATCTATGTGGACTATCTGTAAATCGAGCTAAACTAATATCAGACTGTCTGATCCATCTATACTGAGACATCTCGCAGGATCTTCCTCACAGTTTCAATTTTGGAGACTGTTGCAGCCACCAATGCGTGAAATGCCATGGGAGACATTCACACGAGAGACAACTTTTTTTTTTTTTTGGGTTCAACTACGAGAGACAGCTACACATGAGAAATGTTAATGTATTAGCAATATGATACCTGTGTCAATGATGGTCGCATCTCCTGTCTCTCTCACTTTTTCTTTATGTAACCCATGGTGATAATCCTGTAAAAGAGGAGGAAGGGTCGTATTAGCAAAGAGACAGAAAACAGAACAAATACAAACTATTACAGAAACCACACTGAATCAGCTAACTTACTAAACAAAAGACCAAGAGAGTAAAACACGCGAGTAAACTATTAATTAGCCTTAGGCACTTGAATCTATTAACACCAAGAGAGTAAAACAAGCGAATGTCAGACCTTTTTAGGCTGATCGAGAACATTGTCGTCACCAATAGTCGTTGCAAGAACAGAGACCACCTGCAAAGTGATGAAACCGAACTCTGTCCCTTACAATAATATCCCGACCGAATGCTTTTGATACACATTTTGTAAACGAATGACAATCTCTGCAAACTCTAAGATTCTTTGTGATCCGGAGAGTTGTTCCTGAAGGAGTTGTCATCAATCCATATGCAATGGCCAATTTTTCACTGTGAAATGCAGAATTTAAACAACGATCAGAGAAAGCTGGACATGTTATGTTTGAGTCCTCTGGATTGTAGCCAGCTAGTATGGCGCGACGGACTACTTCCTGCAGTTGTGAGTAAATTAGTGCAGAATCCAGGTGCATTTTGTCATCGACGACAAATTTGTGAACTTGATCGCCAATCTCAATCCAGCTCCAGCCTGGTATTGTCCGTAAATCATGGCTTCTTATTAGCTTTCTCATGCTAGCAAAACCTTGAGCATCATTCGCTGCAGAATATAGAGAAGTCATAAGCACATAATCCCCTGCATTGAAAGCCTCGAGCTGCACCAATTTCTTCATGGCTACTTCTCCTAATTCCAAATTCATATGGATTTTGCAAGAGCCAAGCAGGGTTCTCCACAACACAGGATCCTCATGACAAGCAGAGGTATGTATCATCTCGAGCGCCTTGTCGAGCTGACCTGCACGTCCATAAAGATCCACCATGCATCCATAGTGTTTAACGCTGGGGCTCAAATGGAACTGTGAACCCATCATCTGGAAATGCTCAACTCCTTCTTTGACTAGACCTTGATGACTGCAACCTAACAACAATCCGAGGAATGTAATGGCATTGGGTTTAACCCCGGAAGTCACCATCTTTCTGAAGAAGGAGATGGCCTCGACGCCGTGACCATGAACTCCATACCCAACAATCATTGAGTTCCAAGTTAACACATCTCTCTTGCGCATCCCGTTGAAGACACTAACAGCGTTTTCAAGGCTACCACTTTTAGCATACATATCGATAAGAGCATTACTCACGTAGACACTGTTCTCACATCCAATGCCACAGGCGATCCTGTGTAGCAAAACCCCCATATTCAAAGCGCTAACGTGAGCACAAGATGATAACAGAGCGACGAGCGTGTAAGCGTCGATGCAAACGCCTTCGTCTTCCATTCTCTTCTGCATACTCAACGCCTGGTGGTGTAAACCAGCATGAGAAAGGCAAGAGATCATGGCGTTCCAAGAGACCAAGTCTCTCACAGGCATTTCGTCGAACACTTTGGAGGCAGTGTCGATTTTTCCGTTCGCAGAGTAACAACGAACAAGGCTGGTGGAAACAATGGCATCGTCGGGGAAACCAGATCGGATGATCGATCCGTGGAGCTCAAGACATTTCGGAATCGAGCGGAGCCTCTCGCATGCTTTGAGAGCGAAGCTGAAAGTGAAGATATCGGGGCGTGATAAGGAAGAGAGAAGCATTCGATTGTAGAAGAGAAGCGAAGAGAGAGGAGAGGAGGATACAGAGAAGCCACGGACAAGGGAGTTCCAAGCGGTCGTCGATAGATCAGAATCGAAACGGTGGAAGAGAAGCAGAGCGTAAGACAGAGAACCGGTGACGGAGATGGCGCAGAAGCGGAGGAGATGGTTGAAGATGGAAGGATGATGTTGGAGACCATTGATGACGACATGAGAATGGATCTTACGGAGCTTGTTCATGCTGTTGCAGCCTTGTAGCATTCTCACTATCACTCTCGCTTTCTCGCACATCGTCCGTCTCTCCCACGCAAAAAAAAAAAAAAACAATTTTTGAATTTTCTGGTGAAATCTTGTTTGATAAATGATTTACACATGTATATTTGACAATTTAAAAAAGCCATTTTAAAAAAAAAAAACAGACAATATTCATCAACTCTCTCTATCAAGTAAACAATAATTTTGGGTATTGTTTAGTTGTATTCTCTTTCCTAAGCCTAGAATTTTTGGTTATAGAGTTTTGATTATAAAGTCATGCAGCAATATCCATGAAGAGATTGGTTATAGAGTCTTGACTCATTCATGAGAAGCATTGAAACTCGGGCAGCAATTTCCGTGAAGAGAAGACTGTTTTTTGCAAGCTTAAAATTATAAAACAAGAAAAAGATGTTGAATAAATTGATTTAGAAATATGTAATCCGGAGTTTATTATCAAGGCATGAAAAGCAACTATAAACTGCTAACTAATACATAAGGCAGTTAGAAAGCCATTACGAGTATATCTCTTCTGTTTTTCTTCTACAGCTAACCTAAATGATCTTCATAGATCATAGTCATCCATTAGAGCAAGAAAACCCTGAACATGATCATACTCCAGTAGATCATCAATATCGTCTGGGATCTCAAGAGAGTCGAGTTGCTCACATAACTCTGGGGTTTGCCGAAACTGAGGTTGATGCGGTTGATGATACCCAACAGTATCAAGAGAGTGTGGTTGATAACAAGCTATGGCATGAGGCTGAGATTGATGTGCGTCCAATGGGGGTGCGTCCTAAAACTGCAGTTGATGCGGTTGCAAATACTCGTTAATATCAATAGGCTGTGATTGATGTGAGTCCAGTGGGGTGCGTCCCAAAACTGCAGTTGATGCGGGTGCAGATACTCATTAATATCAAGAGGCTGTGGTTGATGTGAGTCCAGTGGGGGTGCCCAAAGATATGGTTGCAAATACTCATTAATATCAAGAGGCTGCGGTTGATGTGGTTGAAGATACACAATTGCATGAGACTGAGATTGATGTGAGTCTAGTGGAGGTGGCCAAAGCTGCGGTTCATGCGGTTGTTGATACTCATTAATATCAAGAGGTTGTGGTTGATGCGGTTGATGATACTCATTAGTATCAAGAAGTTGCGGTTGATGATACACAATGCCATGAGGCTGACATTGATGTGAGTCCAGTGTAGTTGGCCAAAACTGCGGTTGATACGATTGCTGATACTCATTAATATCAAGAGGCTGCAGTTAGTGCAGTTGATGATGCCCAATATCAAGAGGCTGCTCAACATCCTCTTTTAATGCTTCAACGCCTTCTTCTTTCTTCTTCTTTTTCGTCACTGGAGTCTGATAAATCTTATACAGAGCGTAACCCACCTGTATACACAAACCAAAACAGAACAAGATTAACAAGATACTAGGAAATTCATGTATAATCTGAATAACTTGCAACCCAAGTAATCATATACATACCGTCATGTTATCGTCAGAAGAAGACGGATCAAGCCAGTATTCCTTTATTAACCAATTTGTTTTTACGCCGTTTGGTTGTCTCCCGGTATAGTAAACGAGTGACGCTTTGTTGCCAACAACACCGTTTCCAGCCTTAAACTTCGTGGCAGTTCCTGTTGCATGCCAGTATCCTCCATTGTCGCTACGATTCTGTCTTTTTCCACCTTTATGCATATTTGTCCTCTCTGATACGAAGAACCATTCCGTAAGATTACCCTTCTCGTATTCCGCTGTTTCCAATCAAAAGAAGAGAGCCATTCACACACACAAACGAAGAAAAACAAATTGAATTATATATGATCAAAGAAAGAAATCTCTGGTGGAGACAAACCTGAGAGCCGTTGTGGATTTGACTCGTAGATGTTCACGTGATGAACGGGCCATGAGCTTGCTCTGCTTTTCGAGAAGGGTTCCAAGTAATGCAAGACGAGTTCTTCGTCGGTTGGTGAAAACCTAAAACCTGGCCGGCAAACGTGATCACGAGGAGACAAGTAACTTGGGGCCGAAGAAGAAGAAGATGGCATGTCTGGGTCGTGTTTTAGTGACTGTGGTTGCGTTTGCGGTTCCGGCGAGCATTTTTCTTTGCCTTTGTTTCTCTGATCAGGCACCATCACTACAGAGTGGTTCACAGTGTCAAGCTTAGTCTGAGGGGAGGAACAATAAACAGACAAGAACCAAGCACAAAGCTTATCTTAGTTAGAAATCAAGAAACCAGCTACGAATGAAACCAGTAATCTGGAACGATCTCTCTTATATTGATGAGGACGACGTTTTAAGCTTAGTGAAGGAGGAGGATAAGCAACTTTTGATTTATATTTATAGTGATGGTAAATACCGTGTGAATGGATATGATTTTTAATCTTGTTAAAGTTTTAAAAATATATTCATTTCATTACATTATCAATAAATGTAGATTTATCTCAGATAATATTGTTGAGAAAGATAGCATCGGTTACAAATAGAAATGGAAATTTTGGACTTTAAAATTTTATTTAACTTTAAAATTTATTATTATTGTTACAGTTGAATAAACATAAATTAAAAATCGTTTTCCTAAGAAAACCAGGAAATTTTGTTTTTGCTGCCTAAACTGCTTTTAAATATGCTATAAAGTAATAATAATAAATTTATTAAGTTAAATAATAATATGATTTTAAATTCTAAAAATATAAAATCTGTTAAGTTGAATGGATATGAAATTTACCTTAGTTTCAATTATATATATATATATATATTGGCTTTCATTACATTATTAAAAAAATGAAGATTTAATAAGATTATCTTGATACTATTGTTGGAAAAAGAAAGAAACGGTGGAAAAAATAGGAAATTTTGGTCTTTATAACTTTATTTAATTTATTATTATTACTTTATAGCATATTTAAAAACAGTTTAGTCAAAAAACAAATATAATGCCCTAGTTTAGATTAAAAATATATTGGCTTTCATTACATTATCTAAAAATTGAGGATTTATTAAGGCTTATCTTGGATAATATTGTTGGAAAAGAAAGAAGCAATGGAAAAGAAAAATGGAAATTTTGATCTTTCAAATTTTGTTTAACCTAACAGATTTTCGATAAAAAAAAAAACTTAACATATTTTTATTATTATTTTAGTTAGAGTTGAATAAACATAAAATTGAAATTCGCTCTTCTATAAAACTAAGAAAACAAATATTATGCTGAATAAACTGGTTTTGGATATGCTATATTGTTATATAGTGGTCAACACAAACTTTAATTATTTATGATTTGTTTGAGACAAACTTTATTCTGTAGTGTTAAGTATTGGCAATGTGTTTAATTAATATCGTTGTTTTAGGAAACAATTACAAAAAAAAAACATACAGTATGCTTAATGCCTATTTCTATAATTAATACTTTGCTTTTTAAAGTTGGATGTAAAATAGAACTCTTTACGACTCTTCTTTATCAAGTTGGATGTAATTATAATATTTACTTAGTTAGAGGTTTGACCTAATTAAGTGATTGCATTATATGTCCTCTTATCTGCCTGCATATCATCATTAAGGTCGTCACAAGATTAGATGGATTATTCAATTTTTCACATATGTAATGCGTGGTTACTGGTTGGTTAATGTTTGTAAGGGTATTTTCGTCAATATACATAGATGATACGTAGCATAAACCCTTTAATCATCTGACGCCGTCGAAGTGCCTCTAATCGGACGTTGTTTTTCTCCGGCAAATCCACTCTTGGAGAAAGCATCATTCATGGCCACGAGGTTTTCTCTCTCACTCTTTCAAGCTTCTTTCTTCTGTTGATGAATCGAAACAACTTTGATTGCAGTGTCGAATAATTTCGACCTTTGTGTCTCTCTCTCTCTCATTGTCGCCAGGAGGTTAAGAGCATTCAAGAGATGGATGAAAGCTAACGGAGTTGATTGCAGCGACGCTCTCAATCTCGTCGACGACCACAACGACGGTGTCTCTGTGAGAGCGTTCTGCGATTTGAAGGAAGGAGATGTCGTTGCCAATATATCGAAGACAGCTTGTCTCACCATTAAAACTAGTGGGGCTCGTGAGATTATCGAATCCGCTGATTTAGATGGAAGTCTAGGTCTCTCCGTGGCTCTTATGTACGAGAGAAGCTTGGGTGAAGAATCCCCTTGGGCTGGTTATCTCCAGATTCTTCCTGTTCAAGAGGATTTGCCTCTAGTTTGGTCCCTTGATGACTTGGATTCTCTCTTATCTGGAACTGAGCTTCATAAGGTTTTTGCTATAGATATTCAATTTTATTGTTTGATGGAATTTAGTTGAAATTCACTACTCATCAGTTTGATTTTTTTGTAGGCAGGTGGTGAAGGAAGATCATGGTCTTATATATGAGGATTGGAAAGAAAGCATTGTGCCACTTAGCTCTTCACTGCCTTCGAATGTTGACCCTGATTCGTTTGGGATCAAAGAGTATCTTGCGGCTAAGAGTCTAATTGCTTCAAGGTCTTTCCAGATTGATGACTACCATGGATCCGGGATGGTTCCTCTTGCAGATCTGTAAGTTGACCTTAGACTACATTAGCCTTGCTAAGCTAATATGTATCATCCAAAGAAAGTTGTTGAGATTGAGGCCAAACATATTACCCTTACACATGGTGGAAAACTCATTCCAGAGACAGTAAACCAGAGAAATGCTTTCATGTATCACCTACTTTTGTTATGCCTAGTTATCGGACTAGAACTAATCTTGGGTTTTGTCTTGTGCCACATTTGCTTATTTATGTTGTCCTCAGAAGATTTACTCTCTGCAATACGTTAAAGGTATCTTTGGGTTCAGTATCTTCAGTTAGACTGAGTGTGTTATAGGTAAGAGGACAATGATCGCAGATAATAATCTATGTATTAGGCAATCAAAGTGCTAATTTTGTAACAGTATGGTATATGGTTGCAGCATCTCAGATATTTACATGAAAATGTGCTTTTTCCGATTTTCAGTTTTTGTCATATGTGGGAGAAACGTGATCCTCAAAAATTGTTTTTTTTTTGTTGGACTTGATCTCATTCTAGCATGCTCGGTTAATTTTCTGACGAAAAACTTGATGTTTTACTCATTGATTGTCCACTCTTCTGAATCTTGCCTGTTTACCCTTTATTGCAGCTTCAATCATAAAACTGGGGCGGAAGACATCCACTTCACCGCTGAATCATCTCACAGTGAATCCGATACTGAAGCTGATGAAACTGACAACGTTGATGCTGTAACTGAGGCCACTGATGAAGACGAGCCTTCCAGTAAAAGTTCTTCCTCGCGTGAGCAATCTTTTGAGGAAGTTCCTGGTGAAATAACTGATGAGGAAGCCAAAGAAGAAGAAGAAGAAGAAGAAGAGGAAGAAAACTCTTCAATGTTGCAAGACGATCTATCCGGGTTAAAAATGATTATGGTGAAGAATGTTCCGGCTGGAGCCGAGGTACATATGCTTAATTTTGTTTTCGAAGTCTGTTATAATCATCTTTTACTTGCATTGATGTCATAAAATCTCTTTTGTAGGTATTCAACACATACGGTTTGATGGGTAACGCAGCTTTACTACACAGGTACGGATTTACAGAGCCTGACAATCCTTACGACATAGTAAACATAGATCTTGAATTAGTAACCGAATGGAGCACATCCTCATTCACAAGCCGGTACACTCGAGCGAGACTCGCTTTGTGGAGAAAACTAGGCTACGCAGGATGCGAGAGCCAAAACTCAGAATATTTCGAGGTTTCTACAACCGGAGAACCCCAATCCGAGCTCCTGATCCTCCTCTATATACTGCTCTTACCAGAAGACACATACAATAAACTCGATCTAGCTATATCCACAGCAGGAGATTGTCTGTCTAAAGAAGTAAGAGAGATCACAGTTGGGAAACACAAGTTCATGTTCGGACAAAGTGGTGGCGGAGATGTTCTTCTCACGGATGGTGTTTGTGAAGCGCTTCTTGCTATTGTGGATAAGCGAGAGAGTTTATATGGAACAGTAAGTTCTTTGGAAGATGACATTGTTGGGCTTAAAGCTTGTTGTGTTCCGAGAGACAGGAGATTATATCATTCGCTTGTGTTGCGTGTGAGTGAGAGGAAGATGCTGGAGAAGCTTAGGAGCTACATTCGTAATAGGGTCGATGGATTTTCCGGTGGAAAACGCCGGAAGAAGATGATTCCTAAATCCTAGCACACCCTTAATTTGCTTTTTATAACTTTCAATTTTTTCAGTCCCTTACTTTCGAATTGTTTCTAGAGACATTGGATTTCATCTTTTAAGGAGAATCGAATCGAGGCACATTTGATCAATTCTCTTTATTCTGTTTATAGAACTTTTTTAAGATAAAAACAAGTAAAGGTGACGAGTTCTGTCGTGAGTATATTGAGTAATCATCCGACGGAAGCAAAGAAAGCGTGACAAAAAGCCGGCGACTGTCAGAATGGCAGAGCTGTAAATACGGAGAAAGTTAGGGGCTATTAAACCTGATTGAGCAAGACACGTGGTACGTGGTGGGAGTTAAAGGATTTACAGTCTTACAGAATATCACAGACAATGTGGCCTTTTTTTTTTTTTTACACTAAGGCTAAGGTATTTTTCATTTTCATTCTTATAAACTTTTTTTTTACAGTCAATACTCAATAGAGTGAGACGGAGAGATTCTTCCAGGTTCGCTCTCTTTTTCGTCTTCTTCCTCCAAAATCCAATCTCACCACAGCTTCTTTTGAGGTTTCTCGTCTTTCTTCGGATCTATGTGAGGTATGTAACTGATCGAGTTGGTCTTCTAAACCAAGCCATTGTGTCTTGAATCTTCCTTTTTTATTTCTAATTTTTGTCTCCGGATTTCATTTTTCTCGTTATATTTGGATCATTGGATCTGATTTTCTCAAATTTTCAAATAAGGTGTCCTAAGAATTTCCGTCGGAAAGTTTGGAACTTTTGCTCTGTTTTTTGTTTGGCTTGGATTTGTGAATTTTCATGCTCTCGTTTTTCCAGAAGCGCTTACCATGATCTGGTTTTTGATTGATCTTATTTTTCCTTGATTTTCCGTCTGAAAGGTGTATTGGTTTCTGTAGATTGTTTGCATTGTACTTTCTTCATTGTCTCATTCGATTTCTCTCCAGTCTCCACTGCGAGCTATTGTATGGCTCATTTAGATATTCTAGCTAGGAAGTGGTTGAATCGTGTAGATTCCGAGTTCTCACCCGAATCGATCATATTCAGTATTTGTTTTTTTTTTTTTAATTTGGGTTGGCTTAATTTAGAGTATAAGGAGCAATTCACGATCCTGTTAGAGGAATTTGTCTGTTAAAATCTGGGGGTGTGTATTATTCATGATTGAGCTTGTAATGAAACATATCACAGATTCGAATCGAAGATTGTGGTGATAAATTATGAGTGTGAATGCTCGCTCTAACCTGGGAAAAATGAAAAGTCTATTGTTAAGAAAAGCATGATGATTTCCTAATTGGGTGTAACATGTGTTCCAAAGTTTGGCTTTTACTTGCTGAATTGTGACTTATAATTACATTTTGGATGTTGAAGTATGCACATAGCTGAGATGAGCTAGGAAAGTAGGGATATGATCAAAAATTCTTTGGTTTACCAACTTAGCAACAAGTTAGCAGGAGTTGGTGACCAATTCTCCTACTGGATTTTGCAGGCTAATAACTAGTACCTGACTGAAGCAGCCAAAAAGCTTCCTAAGTTTCAAGCACAGGGAACTTCATTTTCCTCTGGTTTTGTAACTCGCAAAGAAGAAGGAGATTGTGACGAGCTGGAGGGATGTCGAGTGGTAGAAACACTCACTGGTGTCACAGATGTCAACGTGGTGTTTGGCTTCGTGGTCGAGACTCTACTTGTCCCTATTGTGGAGGAGGATTTGTTGAGGAAATCGATGTAGCACCGAATATCCCCTTTGATTTGCTTAGAGCTCACAGGGATGTTGAACGTGATTCAACCTTTGATCTCATGGAAGCTTTCTCAGCATTCATGAGAAGCCGCTTAGCTGAAAGAAGCTATGACCGAGAAATCAGTGGAAGAATTGGCTCTACAGGTTCTGAAAGCTTTTCAAGTATAGCTCCTCTGTTGATATTCGGTGGCCAAGCTCCCTTTAGATTGGCTGGTGGAGATAGTAACTCAGTTGAAGCCTTATTCAACGGGTCACCTGGAATTGGTATCACTCGTGGCAACAATACCAATGCGGGAGACTACTTTTTCGGACCCGGTCTTGAAGAACTGATTGAGCAGCTTTCATCAGGGACTCATCATCGAGGTCCACCACCTGCACCAAGATCATCAATTGATGCATTGCCAACAATCAAGATCACACAGAAGCATCTCAAGTCATCAGACTCTCACTGTCCGGTTTGCAAAGACGAATTCGAACTTAAATCAGAAGCAAAACAGATGCCATGTAACCATATCTATCACTCTGACTGCATCGTCCCATGGCTGGTTCAGCATAACTCATGCCCTGTCTGTCGAAAAGAGTTACCATCAAGAGGATCTTCTTCAAGCACACAGAGTGATCAGAACAGAAGCACCAATGGAAACAGAAGGAGGAACCTTTTCTCTAACCTCTGGCCATTCCGCTCGTCTAGCTCAAGGTCGACACAAAACCGCAGAGATACAAACAACGCAGCCACTGCAGAAGAAGGCCTCTATAATCATCACCAGCAACAGCAGCAGCAACAATATCAACATCATCAACAACAATCTCATATGGGTTACAGTGGGTGGCCTTTTGACTATTAAACGTAAATCTAAACTCTTTTGTTGAAGCCTTTCTATATCACTTTGGTCTTTCATGTTTTCGTTTGTGCTTTGACTTGCTCTGTCTCTCTTTCACCTACTATGTTCATTGGTTGCTGTAGATCTTCTGTTTCCGTTGTTTACAGTTTATCAACTTTGTGTTTATTTATGGATTTTAATATCACACATGTTAGCATCTTACTGACTGTGCATTAATAATATGTTTATTTTATTGACGAATGTATGTTGGTTCTTTTTAGTGAAAAAATATAAATATATGTCGTAGATAAAACCATTATTTTTCTTTTGAAAAAACAGGAAAAAAAATTCTCCCAAAAATAGTGACTCATAGATGTATATAAACTCGCTTCTTGATGTTAAATAAAAAAAACCCGCTTCTTCCACAAAATCTTGGCGCTTCTCTCTCGTTAACCTTTGCAACTGAAACACGTTCTTGTGCCGGAGATTGTTCGAAGTTAGGGTTTTTCTCGAAACTACAAACTTGATCTCACGGGGTTCCTCTGTTTTATTGGTTCTCTCTCTCTAATGGCGGACAAAAATAACCAAGAATCAGATCATCCCGCCGGTACGTCTGTTCACAAGCTTGTGATTATTATGTTTCTTCGATTGAATTTCCCCATCGGATTCTTGTAACATTTCGATCACAATCTCCAGTAAGTAGGGTTTAAGAGTAGGATTAGCCAATGGTTTACAGATTTCAGGGTTTCGGGTTACTCTGCTTTTCTTTTCCTCTCCACCAATGATCTTGATTCTATTACTCCATTGTGATGTAGAAGATCCAACGATTCGCACATCAAAGAAGAGAGTAATGGCTGAAAAATCACTTGCTGGGTTTAATAGAGCACACGAGTCCGAGTCCAAGTCCGACGTCGAGTTCAAGAAACAGAAACTTGAACAACTCCAGAGAGAAGCTGCTTGTTACTCTGTTCTCCATGCTGCTCAAGCAGAAACCTCGGCAATCTCACAAGTAACACTTTTTCTCGTGTACTAACTTTCTCATTGTTGAATCTATCTTCTTCTCTTATTTCATTCGGTTTCCTGAGGCTTGTGCTTGTGTCCCCTCTTCTTCAGAAGAACGATTGGAAGATTGCTCACGAAACTAACATCTCTGTTTTGGATAAGATTGCGAAAGATCTTCTGACCATGGATATAGATATAGCACAAGAGAAGGCATTGACAAAATCTGTAAGGATTTATTTATTCATCTTTTTTCCAGAGTCAAGACTAATAACTATGAATTGGCTTTTACCTCGCTCAGAGTTTTGACTTCCATTTTCTTGTCCTTTGTATTTGATTTAGCCCGAAAAGAAGCCAACTTCGAGTCCAACTTGTGTTCCTGAACCTGGCTCAAGCTGTGGAAGTGTTTATCCAGAGCCTCGTGTTGAAAAACGGGTCGGCCTAAGCTTGCTTGATGAAGAAGCTATCGACATGAACAAGAAACAGGCTTGCTCCGATGTTCCCAAAGCCACTAACGCAGAATCTCCATTGAGGTATCTTTATCGAAGCCATCTCTTCTCTCTATTCCTCTATAACGTTTTTGTCAAAACCCTCAGTTTCTTGACCATTCGATGTCTCTTTGCCCTTCTACGTCGTGTATGTTATCTTCCTCGAAATCTTGACCATTGATAATTATTCTCTCTCTCTTTTTTTTCAAGAATGGAGCCAAAATTCAGACCTTTGCCTGTCGGATTCAGATTTCGTCCAACAGACTATCAGATGTCAAGCTATTTTTTGAAGAAAAAAGCTCTAGGACAGCCAATGAGAGTCCGTATCATACCTGAAGAGTGTCTGGATCTCTTCTCAAAACATCCTAGTGATTTGCCTGGTCTGTTTTTCTTTTCTTGATCTAACTTTGCCTTCTTTTGTGAATGAGTTCATTGACAGTCTCTGTTTCATTTTTCTTTCTTGGTTTCAGGGTTTCCAAAAGAAAAGCATTTGTATTTCTATTGCAGGAAAACAAACGGCCAAGACCCTCAAAATCTCTGGACACAAATCGGTGAAGATACTGTGTTCGATCCACAGGAAGAAATTTGTGTCGGTATCAAACGTTCCTTTACTCTCATTGAGCACGAAGAAGAATCCAATGATATTCGTTTACCTGACGAAGAAGAGTTAAATCCAAGAGTTGAATGGTACATGGATGAAATTAGCCTCCCAACTACTGTTGCAGATACTGACTGGGTTTTGTGCCATGTCTTTTATAAAGAAGAAGGTGATTTCTATTGATTGTTTGTCTCCCCTGACTTTTAATTCTTACAAGATGATTTCGCATGATTCTGTCTTTTAAGGATTGAGTGATTTTAAGATTCCTTATATGTAGTGAAACACCAAGACATGACTGTACGTAATGCCTGTGAAGAGTTTATACACTAGTTTTACAGATTTTTTTTTTTTTTTTTATCATTCAGTTGCATCATCTGCAAATCTTAATATTAAACGTAAATATATACCTTACGTCTGTATTTGTTTACTTCACTTTTGGTCTTTGTATTTTGTTTGTGTTTTGTCTTGTTCTGTCTCTCCTTCGCTTACTTATGTTCATTATTTATTGTAGTTCTTCCGTTTCTGTATCTTACGGTTTATCAGCATTGTGTTTTATTTATGGATATTATTATATAACACATGTTAGCATGTTACTAAATTTGTATTGAGTTATTTATGTTTATTTATAGATAAATGTATGTTTCGGCTGGCGCCAACCAAACTTCGATCTGTTTACTTTATTGTTATTAAATATTTGTATCATTCTTCTTCAATTACTTAGGATTTTCTTCTTTTGCAAACTTGTTGTTACGTTTGTTTTACTTACACATTTCGTAAGCAAAAGGTGCTATACCAGAACCTGATAACCTTGAGGCGCTAGCAAAAGCTTGACCATTCTCGAATCTCAATCTCATTAAAAAAAATACTAGATTTTGTGTCATATTGGGGGAAAGTGATGGTTAGATAACCAAATTGCGTCAAGTTGTTTGATGCGAAAGATACATATATTACTGGACCTATTTTTGGCCATTACGAATATGCTAACCCACAAAATAGTAGATTCCGATATATTTCTTTTAGATATGCAAATACTTTTCTGATTTTAGTTTTTAGCTATATCTCTATGCTCCACAAAAGTTGTAGGACAATTCTAAAAAAAAAATAAAAAAATAAAATCACAATTTGTATTTACTTTTTCATACTTACCACCAAAATTATAAAATTGCAAAAATATCACAACTTTAGGTTTATGAATAGTTTTTAGAAAAAAACCTCCAAGTTATGAACATTTTCTCAACTTTCATAAACCATTCTTAAGTGATGCAAGGCTTAGCGATCCATACAACAACATTTAAGAAATGAACCAAAAAGATTGCTAAAAAAGAAAGGGAAGTTGAATATAGTAACCAATCGACATTCGAGTTTTGTCCTCATTTTTTTGTTAGATGGAGATTTTGGTTGAAGAAGCAGTGAAATCGCATCCGCCACATCACATATGGTGTAATTGAATAAGCAGTAAATAGCATTAGCCACATCACACATGGCGTAGAAATTATGATACAATCTATCTTAAAAATTCATGTCACCGACGAAGAAGCTTTAAAAAGACCCACAAGATTTCTGCCGTATAGGGAAAGTGACAAAAGTCTTTGACCTAAAAAATCTCTCTCTTTTCTTTTTTTTTTTCTTTTATAGATCTTTTGTCTCTTCCGTGATCGAAGTTTCACAACTAACTACTTGTCTTCTCAACAAGTTACTACTTCCCTACACAGTTTCCCATCATCATAAATGATTATATCTTTAAAATCTATTTATCCGCTTCTACTACCAATTACCTTTAACGTTTCACTTTTGTTTTGACTTCTCCTCTTCTCAAACATTCAAATAGTGATCTAAACAAGTATCGCTATGATGTTGTAATTCGAATTCAAATAGTTGATTTGATTTACATAGTTTGCACACAGATAAAGAAAAAAACACTCGATACTTGATTTACATTAGATAAAAAGTAGCATTTTCATTGTTTAATTACTTCTTTACAACTAAGCTACGCATTGGAGGGGTTGATAAACTTTTTTTACTTAATCTACAGTCTACAGATGAACATTGCATCTATTTAGGAAAAATAATGTTTATGTCATTCTGAACCAAAATTCGAAAGGAAAGAAAAATATTTTCTTTTTTGGTTCTGTCTCTCTCTTTTTTTTTTTTCTTGACTAAAACAATAAAAGTTTCGAAATTCAAATTGACACGAGCTCACAAGTCACACCCACTAGTACAACTGCTCTGTACATTATAAATTTATAATTACTAAACAAATGTTAAGTGTAGAAAAAGAAAAAGATAAAGCAAACACAAATACTCTCTTCTCACACACAATAAGAAAAAAAAAAAAGGAAAAGGAGAGAGTTCTCTCTATTGTCATTTGCAGAGAAAGCTACTTCACTCCTTTTTTCTCCCTTGCTTTGTGCTCCGTCTCCCTGAGCCCTACATTTTTGTTTCAATCGACAGGGAACCGCTTTGTTGCTTGCTTTTGGGAGCATCTTCTTTGCCTAATTTTCCTTTGGATTTCCTTCGGGGTTGAAGAAGCCGGCCTTTATGGGTGCGGCAGAATCTTGACCCGATCGTTTTATGGTGGATTTGGAGCTATTCCGTGAATGAATCTGTGTTTTATGCTGTGGCTTTGTTTGTTATGGGGAAGAATACCGATGAGGAGCAGAATCTCCCTGGTGACGACGGAGCTGCTACTACGGCTAGGATTAACGGATGCTCCGGCTGTTTCTCCGCTCGGATCTCTAGATGCTTTAGTCTCAGATGCGTTTTGATTCTCGCTTTTTCTGCTGCTCTGTTTCTCTCCGCTTTGTTTTTGTTGCCTCCATTCCTCGGATTAACAGATCGTGATGATCTAGATCTCGATCCAAGGTTTAAAGGTAAAAATTCCCGTTTTCTCCTATCTTCTTTTGCCTCGAGAGTCCTCTTAGGATTTTAGATCCCGTTGGGTTCGTGTCAATCTGCCTTGATATGATTTGTGTTACAGATCTAGGGTTTGTGATTCGTTGGGGGGTTTTTTTTTTCTCGCCTTCTGGATTTCACATGGGAATGTAGGGAGAAACTCAGTGATAATTCACATGAATGATAATGAGATTGAGCTGTTATAAAGCTGGAATATTTTCTATAACAGGACAAAGCTCGTTTCTGAATGAGCCCTAATTTTTAATGGATTTCCTGAAATTTTGTTAGGAGGTGATGTAGGGAATGTAAACTTTCATTGACTTGGACTTAGAAATGGCTATTTTAGGCCATTTCTTTATTGGTTATGTATGAATTTTTGTTGAAATTTGATGTAAACCTTGTGGAGTTCAGTAGTCGATATAAAGATGTGTTTTTTAGTCCCAAACTGTCTGATAAGGTTATACCATGAGCTCCATTTTTAGTATTGTAAACACCTTTATTGAATCAACACTGCTTAATAAGTATATTTCTATAAATGTCTCAGAATGTTGTTTTAAGCTTGGCAGGGCTAAAAGCCTAAAATTGGTTCAAAATGTCTCATGAAAGCAATGATTTGTTTCCATTTATTCTTATTAGCTCACCAAAATCTTTTTCTCCGTTTACAATCTTTTCTCAAAGCTGGTTGGTAGAAGCAATTAAGAACGTAGACATAGTCGGTGCATAGTTTAGTACGTGAACTAGGTGTGCAAAACAGATTTACCTCAAGTGTCTGATTTTGTTTCAAAATCTAATCTAGTTGTTGTCACTTGCCTGGGCAGCCTAAGACTGTTTTAGTTTGAATAATGTAACTTTCTCCAATTCTGTTATCTAAATTTTCTTTCATGCAACGACTTACATGTGTTTATATGATCCCTATATTCTTATGTTTATTCCCCTGAACATTGAAGCAACAACATTTTTAGCTACCTATATCTTGCGCCCTGATATATCTCTATGCAGATCACAGGATAGTGGCGAGTTTTGTTGTTGGAAAACCAGTTTCGTTCTTGGAAGACAATTTGTTGCAGCTTGAGAATGATATCACCGATGAAATAAGCTTTCCCATGACCAAAGTAACTAAGCTTCCATTCCTTATCTCACTTGCATGGATTTCATTGTATCCATGTTGATCATTTTGTAACTTCTGTATCTTTTCTTGAACTAGGCTGTGGTGTTAGCCCTTGAACGCTTGGGTAATCTTAACAGAACGATGGTTATTTTTGCCATCGATCCCGAGAAAAAGAATACTAAGATACCTGCCGAAATTGAGAGTCTGATAAAGGCAGCTTTTGAAACTCTGGTCCAAAAGCAGTTGTCTTTCCGCTTGACTGAATCCTTGTTCGGGCAACCCTTCTTTTTTGAAGTGCTAAAATTCCCAGGAGGAATCACTGTGATCCCTCCCCAGCCTATATTCCCCTTGCAGAAAGCGCAGATTCTCTTCAACTTCACACTAAACTTTTCGATATACCAAATTCAGTTAAACTTTGAGGAACTCACTAGTCAGCTGAAGAAGGGTATTAATCTGGCTCCCTATGAGGTATGACAACTCTTAGTCACAAGATCAGTCTATTGCTACTGATTCGGAATATTGAATTTCTCTCTTTGTTGAATTTCAGAACTTGTACATAACCTTGTCAAATACTAGAGGCTCAACGGTGGCGCCTCCTACAATAGTTCATTCTTCTGTTCTACTCACTTTCGGTACCTCTTCAAGGTTGAAGCAGCTTGCTCAAACCATCACTAGCTCTCATTCCAAAAACCTTGGCCTAAACCACACTGTATTTGGTAAGGTTAAGCAAGTCCGTCTTTCCTCATTCTTGCCACATTCACCCGCCATATCATCACCCCCTTCCCCTTCCCCTTCCCCTTCTCCTCAACCTGAAACCAGCCAACAATACTACCATCATCACCACCATCATCACCATCACCACCACCATCATGATCGTGCTCCGGAACCTTCACCTGCAACTAAGAGCTTCACACCTGCAACTAAGAGTTTTGCACCTGCATCAGCGCCAACCAAGCACTCACCTTTACCCCCGAGAAACCCGCCTTGCCCTTACGAGCAGAGGAGACCTAAAGGAAACAATGCTCTGAATCATCACACTGCACCACCAACGCCTGCACCGCACCGGTCTAAGTCACACACACCAGCGCCAAACCCGACCCCGCCACATCATCATGCCATCCCAGTATCTAGTCCACTTCCCAACGTCGTATTTGCTCATATCCCCCCTCCATCGAGAAACACCCCACAATCACAACCAACCGGTGAAAAAACTCCTGCACCTTCTCCTACTCCATGTAAGCCTTTCTTCTTGTTTTCAATATCTGCATCCATGGATTTGTTGATTCACTGAACTAAAACATCTCAAATCTGAAATCTGTTTATTATCTGCTGCAGCTTCGGCGAGCATTGGTCCAACCTTCAATAGGGCATCATCGAAGCTGCTTGTAATAGCAGCTGTTGTAATCATCTGTCTGTAAAACCAAAAAAAAAGAAAAAAAAAAAAAAGAAGAGAAAAGCGCCGGAAGAAACTGCTTTTAACGTTCAAGCTGTAAAAAGAGTAGCAGCAGTTCACAAAAGCAGAACTCATTCGGTCACAACATCAAGGTAATTGTATAAAGGAACAAAAGGAAGAAAAAAAAATGTATGTATGAAAAATGAAGAGAGTTTTTTTGTAAAAGAGTTGTTGAGGTTTGCAGCACAAAAGTGTGTCTTGCACCTAACATCCGAGAAAAAGAAAACTTAAATATATAAACCTTTCTGTTTTTATTTTGTTGTATATAAAGTAATTTTGTTACATCGCTACACATATTTTCCGTTTGAAGATCTCCGAAAATGCTAGAGACGAGCATCCCTATCGCATGATCTCTTTCTTTGTGCCTCTTTGTTGATTTCAAATATCTTCTTCATCAGAACGATTAAATGCGATATCTGTCTTCTGAATACTATTTGTTCACTCTGCACTTGAAATATTCTTATGTCATGGTGACAAACAATCCCAACAAAAGAGCTTTATGTCTATTTTTGGTTCCTCTCTCCTACAAAAGAGGGAAGATCAGAAACGTAGAGATAAGAACAAACATTTATGGAACGTAATAAATTTGGAGGAAAGAGGATGAAAGAAATAGAAAATGAAAAACCAAATTTGAAAAAGACAAAAAGTAGAAGAAGAGAAAGAATAAGTCTGGGAAGGGGAGTCCCAGAAATTTTTTTCCGGTGACAGTGTCGTCGGTTCTCTGACGCTCCCCCACTTTTTTTATTTGTTCAATCTTTCCTTGAATGCCTTTACTCGTATTCAGGGTACGTTCAATTCTTCTTCTTCTTCTTTTTATCCATTTCTTGATAATTTTAAAGTAAGTTTCTGGTGCATTCGATATCAGCTATGTCGAATCATTGAACAATTTTTAGAACTGATGTTGAATTTTGTTGGCTTGTTCTTCAAGCAATCAGCTGCTGTATTGGTCGTATTACTAGGGCTTCCCTGATTGTGTTAGTACTTTTTACAGATTTTAATAGACCAGAAATATTGCTTCGAATTTGCAGAAACTTGCGGCGATTTTACAATAGGAAGAGCGAGGGATTATAAGGTATCTCCCATTCTAATTGCATCTATATATATATACATCTATTCGAGGAACATCATCTTATGTTCATGTGCTAAAACAGAGAAGAATTTGCAGGTACTATATATGGATTCAAGCCATTCAAAAAAATGATTTGTTGGTCACAACGAACTGGACCATCCAAGAGTTCCACAATTAATCTGAGAAACACTCCCAACAAAAGTTTGGCATGAACTGTATGGCCGTGGCTCTCGATCCACTAACCGACCGGTTCACACAGTTTAGCCGATCTTCACAAAGATGCAGACTCCAATCTCTAACCAACCTCGACTTCAACTTTCTCGATTTCAACACTAAACCAACCAATCTCACCGCTTCACACTCCTTCAACCACCGAAGCGTTTCCACTCCATGCTTCTCCTATCAAGATGCCGGTTTCAAATCCGCTCCTGCTCCTGCTCCACGAATTGAGATTCTCGGTGGTCGAGAAGTCCCTGCTATACGCGCCCTTGTAGCTGAAGTTAACATAGCTATGGTCTCAGGAGCTAGGCCATTGCTTTTACCAAGTGGCTTAGGAGGTGCTTATCTTTTGCAAACCAGAAAAGGTCACAGTATTGCTGTTGCCAAGCCAGTTGATGAAGAGCCTTTAGCTTTCAACAATCCTAAAGGACCTGGCGGTTTGATGCTCGGACAACCCGGCATGAAACGGTCTATTCGGGTCGGTGATTCCGGAATCCGTGAATTGGCTGCTTACCTCTTAGACCACCATGGCTTTTCCAGCGTTCCGACAACGGCATTGGTCAGAATCTCGCACGTTCCTTTCCATGTCAGTGATGGTGAAGCGACCTATAAAGTTGCCTCTTTGCAACGATTTGTGGGTCATGATTTTGATGCAGGAGAGCTTGGACCAGGAAGCTTCACGGTTGGTTCGGTCCATAGGATTGGGATACTTGATGTGAGAGTCATGAACCTCGATAGACATGCTGGAAACATGTTAGTGAAGAAGATACATGACCAAGAAGACCAGAGTTGTTATAACGGAGTTGGAGCAGCCGAGCTCGTGCCTATAGATCATGGTCTTTGCCTACCAGAATGCTTCGACGATCCTTATTTCGAATGGCTTAACTGGCCTCAAGCTTCGGTTCCATTCACTGAGGCAGAGCTTGAGTATATATCGAATCTTGACCCTTTTAAAGACGCAGAGATTTTAAGAACCGAATTATGCTCTATACAGGAATCTTCCATACGAGTCCTCATCGTCTGCACTATATTCTTGAAACAGGCAGCTGCTTCAGGGCTGTGTCTTGCAGAGATTGGTGAGAAGATGACTCGAGACATCTGCAGAGGGGAAGAGAGTTCAAGTGTGTTGGAGATTCTCTGCAACAAAGCAAAAGCAAGCGTGGTTGATGGAACTTACGAAGAAGAAGAAGAAGAAGAAGACGATGATGGTTATAGAAGTGAATGGGATGAAGTAGAAGCAGAGCTGGAGTGTTGTATTTTTAACTTTGACGATGAATTTGAAGATATAGAATGCAAAGAGCTTCCAGAGATGAGTCAGGTCTCTAAAACGCCTTTGTTTCCAACAGCTATATCCTTGTCTGCGAATCTATCTGCTCTCATGATGTGTTCTTGGATTGGTACTCATGATAAACCGACCAGAAATGTAAACGACATTAACAGAGAAGAAGACTGGAAAGATAGGAGTATTGTGAGGAGCAAGAGCCACCCTATCTGTGTAAATCATGATGAAAAAGAAGGTGTTTTTTTGGGAGACATGAGTGCAGATGAATGGGAGATGTTCCTGCAGATTTTCCAGATGCTTTTGCCAGAAGCACTTGAAGGCTCAACATCCAAGGGACCAAAGCCAAGATTTGGATCTTCCTGCAAATTCTAAGGAAACAATATTTAAAAAAAAAAAAAGAAAAGAGCAAACTAAAAGAGTGATGAAATCTCGAAAGGTTAAGATTCAGATGTTTATTCATAGAAAGAAAATGGAAAATATGAGACGAGCAGACTAAAGCCGTCCAATCCAAATGACTTGCTATGTTCTTCTTTCTCGTTTCTTTATTGTACCAATTCATTACTGAAACATTCAGTACCATATATATCTACAAGAGAATGATCAATGTAACTGATAATATGCACTTCACAGAGATTTACCTGTTCCATGTAATTTCTTGGCACAATACAGAATTTCAGGTCTCAGGACAACCAAAAGAGAGTGTACATATGAAGAATTTGGTTCTTATATTATATTGTTGCAAGAATTGACCTCCGTAAATCCTCTCAGACTTAGTCATGGACACTGTCACTGGCCATAGGAAGACAAAAACCGGTTTATTGGATGGATTTAACCAAACGACTAAGGGATTTCCTGTCACACTTGCCGCGAATTCCTCTAATGAAGGCGTTTGGCTCCTCGATTTACTATTTCGCCATTTAGAGCAGCAGAAGGACGATCAGAAAATCTCCGGCAAGCGATGAAGCAGAGGGATCGAGCGATGACGAAGACGACGAACAAAATAAAAAACCTTCTTGACCCGAGTTGGAGAATGCATACCGTTTTTAATTGTTCTTAACGCTCTTAGAACCAGAACATCGTACCGTTTTTAATTGTTCTTAACGGTCTTAAACCAGAACATCGTACCGTTTTATTTATCTTATACAGTATTCGCTCTTTCTGGTATACGTAGTACGTACGTTTAATCGAAAAAGCGTGAATTTATTATTTTTTGGTTTTTTTTTACAACGGTTCAAAATTATTTTATACCATAAGATTTTTTTTGTTTCAAAATACCATAAAATAAAAACAGAAGAAAGGAGTTAGATAACATAAACTCTACTAGAAAATCGAATTGGATTGTATTGTCAATCCTCATTCATTTTCATCAATAAAACAAATATAGATACTCAAGATAAAATTAAACCGGGACACAAAGATACCACACTTGTGTGCTTTTCTCAATAAAATCTTGTTTTTCAACACCTTGAAGCTTAGGTACAAGCGTCTCGATTAAATGCTTTGTCACAATGTTAAGACAAGATTGTCCCATGTGGTAAATTTCTAGGCAGCATCCATTTTCTTTCAATTGACCATGGCGATACATTTCGGCCGTGGCATATACTGCACACTTTGAAGATATCCTCGCCATACATTGGTTAACAATGCGGTCTGGTTCAGGAGATTGAGCTAAACCAGTGGCTGCAGATGCGAGTGCAGCCATCGCAATAATTGTGAATAAGGCTGCAGCCATGGATTTGGTGACCATACTTGGTTTGAAGGCCATGATGTATTCTTTTATTTTGTATTGTGAATTGTTCAATACTTCAATTGAATCATTTTTTTTTTTAATCCGGTCAATATATATAGGAAAATATATAATTGTAACGATTTGGAATGACTTTAATGGTTGTTTAAATCTCTCTTTATACAATTGGCGATTCTCTAAAATTGTTTAAAATATCATCTTATTGGATCTAGTATTGGTTAAAATAGGTTGAAATCCATGGTTATTAGATTTGTCATTTATTAAAATGCTTTCCTTATAACAATTTGAGATTTTGTTACAAAATTAAATCAAAAAGCATTTGAAATTTTTTTGGAAGATTTTTGTAGTAAGAAAATGCACTGGTCATATAGTGGTATTTCAAAATTATTTAAGAAAAAAAATTGTTTTTACATTTCTTCCTCTCCCCTCTTTAGAGTTTTTAATGTCATACGAAACACAGTTTCATTTAATGTCATAAATTTAATCTAATTAGAATTTTTAATGGGTGATTTTCTTTTTAGTGAAACTGTGTTTCGTATGCATTCAGATTAATGAGGCGTTTACTTGTACTTATTAAGGGTGATGCGTTTAATTTGCAATTAATTGAAAACGCCTACGTTTATTTCGTTTTGCAAAAAGTAATTGTACAAGGGTCCAGGAGATCAACATTTGAACTAATAAACACAATTAATGTTTTCATTAATATCTTCTGGATTTTCTAGATCTTTATACTTTTAGACTCTCATCAGTCATCACCTCAATATATGGGTACACATTTGAACTAGATAGAATATATATGGTCAAAAGCAACATATTTGAGCGCGATTATTAATCTAATTGGTCTTATTAAGGGGTTTGAATTAACCATGGATGATGGGTACCCCTACTAATTAAGATTAGAAAACAAAACCTAAAAACAAAAGGTTGGAGCATGATATATAACAAAGAAAACGTTGCTCCTCTATCTAACAAAAAAAAGGAAAGACTTAAAACATCTGATTAAGCTCGTGAACACTTTTCTTTATACTCACGAGACTACAACAAACCCACCACCATTTTAGCTTTCCCCGTAGATTGCATTTCAACATCTACTTCCTCATCAATCCTTGGCATCGAGAGACCATTATCCTTGGCATTCGAGCCTTTACAAATTTTGACATTAACATCTACAAACTTTTCCTCACTCTTCTCTTCTTCATCCCCTTCCTTTCCCCATAGAACCGCGTAGACTCCCACCATTAATATCGCCATTCCAAGAACCCTAAAATTTCCGAAAATTTGATGTAAGAAAACAAAAATAGTAGTAGTTTAATTAGACACAATATGAGGATTAATTATTTAGCCATATGACCTAACTAGTAAAAAACCAGTGGTATCTTACCCGCCAAGGTATAATCTTTGGCCGAGGATAAGGAAGCCAATGATGGATCCGATTATGACGATAAGAGGGTTAAAAGAAGTGACAAAGACAACACCTTTTTGCTTCGTCATCGAACCTTGAACGTAGTATGCTATGCTCGACGACATTACACCCTGTATAAATTAAGTATACATTCACACATTGTTAAGTATTGTAATTCGATATATAACCACAAATTAAGTTGTATATGTAACCAAGAAGAAGGACGAACCGCGTAAGCAGAGGCTAGAAGGTTCATGTCAAAGCCAATGTTCCATGCAGAAAGGTTTGGTTCCATCACAAACGTTAGGGCTGTAGACTGTAACGTTCCCATGAAGCACACCATCGTCGATAATGAAAGCTGAGATGAGTATCTCTTCAACGTAGCCGCCTAAAGATAAAAAAATATATACATTTTTTCCTAATTCGTTAGAACAAAATGTTAATTTTGTATATAATCACTTTTTTTTGCCTAGATCATCACAATTTTTCCAACTGCGTTTGTCATCTAAAAAAAAATATTAAGCACCTGAAGAACGAAGAAGGAAGCCCAAGAAAAAGAGGCGATGAGTAGGAAGATGGTGGCCTTGAGGTAGTCATCACCGGCCGGCGACGAAGCATCGCCGTTGAGGTGCGATCGGAGAAACATGATTAGATGACTTTTGAATAAAATCATCAACATGGCTCCAACCACTATCACTAATGTCCCCACCACTTTTGCTTGGAATCTTACTTTTCTCAGCTCCACCTTCTCCATCCTTTTTTTTTAATCGCCAAAACATTTAAATCATATATCATTAATTAGCAACGTATCATATTGTACAAACTAACCTATTGTATTTACCTAGCTATAGTTAAATTTCAAGTTATAAATATGCTTTAAATTTAGGTATACCTGCAAATTATGGAAATGATAAAGGTCAAAGCAGGCACGATGTTGGTGACGGCGCCGGCAAAAGTCGGTGAAGTGAGTTTAAGACCAGCGTAATATAGGTTCTGATCGATCGTAGGCCTGTTGTGAATAATTTACACACAAAAAGTTATAAAAGTAATATTTATATACATGTCAAGCGAATGTTTTCGAGAAAAAGAAAAATGATTCAAATCAAAGAAGACTAACCCAAGAAGAGCTAGTACAAATATTTGCATGAATATTGGGAACGTCATCTTCGGCCTCACTTTCCTAGAACATCCAAATAACTGTTGTCATTTCTATTTAAATGCTTGTAACTGATGAGAATCGATCTCTCTACCTTTCTATATATATATGTAGTTATATAACTAATATGTTACCTCTCGGAGAGAAGGGCGAAAGGTGCAATAGCAGCCATGGCAAAACCATTACGATAAGCCACAAGGACGTAATGGCTCATGCCACGGTCGAGCACAACCTTGGTCACGAGGTTCATGCCAGCGTATCCGAATTGGAGGCAAACCATTGCAAAGTAAGGCTTGGCTGATTCAGATATCTTTAACCCCATATATGAATTAAAGAGAAGGAAAAAAACAATTTGGTATATGGATTCAAAAATATTTATAGGAATAGAGACGAGACACCACTTGTGGGGCTAGCTTCCTACGAACAAAGTGGTGAGAGGTTTATTTGTATTTATAGAGCATCATATTCGGATGAGTTCGAATGCCCTTTTGTTTTTTTTCCTGATAATTATTTATTCTTTATTTCTTTTTTAGTGACGTTCGCATTAATTATTCTGTTATCGAATCTGTAAGAATTATCTTCAGTCTCTTTATTTTTTTTAGGGGAAATCAGATGAGATACTTATAAGTAACACAATAACCGAGCTACTAATAGTGAAATCAGTTAGCTAAATTAAAGTTATCTTAAATTGAAGTGAATATTTGAGATATTTATTTAAGATATATATGATATAAACAAAAATGTAAACAACGCGAGGAAAGTGTAATGGAAAAAATGCAGACGTAAATGATCAGTGAACACACACAATCCCCTCCACAATATCACATTATAATTAGTCTGAGGATGGGATTTTAGGGAAAGTAAAACACGAAACACAAGTGGACTGAGTGAATTTACAAGTGGCAGCAGAAACAAAGTGGGATCCAAGCTTACGTCGATTGTAGGACCCTTATATGAAATAAAAAATCTGTGATGTTGCAAAATGCTTTGAAGAGAGTGGTTTGGTATTGTGGGGCATTCATTAACCATATCCGTAGGGGATGCGATAATTGAAGTCGCCCTGTGAATTGCTGATGCCATAAACCGAAACAGAAAACAAACAGCTAGAAATACAATTTTTTTACTATATTAGAATTTTAACGCCAACAATAAACACTAACAAACAATATAATTACACCAAATGAATTATGGCCCTAAGAATTTTAAAAAGTTGCGTTTTGTAAAATCTCTGTTGTTTCTTGTTTGAAAAGGATTTCGGTTATGAATTATGAGAGAAAAGTATTCGAGTTTCGGTATAGACTCGACCATATATATATGAGTGCGTGTATAGATAGATATTTTTCGCGCAGAATCTATACCGAAACATAGTCAAATTAACTATCCAAAACCCTTTTAAGAGTAAATATAAGATATTAATTGCACTATATTAAAAAGAAGATCTGCACATCACACTAATTAATTTATTGTGATATGTATTTATTTTTTTATAATCCGGATGTGTCGTTATGTTGCAAGTGTTCATTGGTTTTAATTGAAATAAAAAGAAGTTGGGCATGATCCATTACCTTCGGTAGAATATGCATTACTATCACTTTAAGTGAGAGTATTGAATACTTTACAAAGTTGGGGAAGAATTTTGCCAAACTGATCATCTCTTCAAATCAATTTGATGAAAAAGTGATTCATTCATATTTTATAGATAATTTGTGGATAATATCATATGGAGTACGTGGTAGAACTTGGAAAAACTTGGAAAATGGAGTGATTAACTATCCATATGATTCATATAGAATTTAACTACCGTATAGTATTTAGACGCCATCTCACCAATAGATTTATAAATTTGAATAATAATAATTATTATAATAATAATAAATTTATTTATCAATTGTATCGGTCGTGTATGCATGTGTCGACATAATTGTTCCAAATGCTATGATATATATCGATTCGAATCTATTCTTCTGGGTTAGAGATTTGGGATTATATGCTTCCATATTCGTGGCTCACATAGATTCATAAAATCAGAACTATATTAGAATCAACACACGACATGAGCTGACACATGGGAATAAAAACATGTGTATTTATGAAGATGCTAAATTCTCGATTATAAATTTGATATCGTAGATTTGATATTTATTTTATTAAATAATAGATAAACAAGAAGGATAAAGTGCGATGAAGAATGTGGGTGCGTTTTTGGGTACCAAAGAGAAACGGAAACAAAGAGGCAAACAAATCCAAATGGGCATCTAAACATATTCCAGCATATGCAAATTCATCTTTAACCACTCACATCAGACCGACAATTTATTAATGACTTCGTGATTGAAATGAACACATATAACCGATCGATTCTATTGCATAACAAATAATAATATGTTTATAAATAAAATTGTTTAAAACACGTTCAAATTTAAAAGTACAATATGAAGTATTACCTCATATTGAGTGAGTGATATTCAAACAAATAACATGAGAGTCTGATGGTGAATTTTATCCTCATATTAAGATGGTGTAAGCTCTCTATATCCTTCGTCAGATATAGTTCATTTTTAAGTATCTTTCAAGTTTCATCATTGCTTTTTAGTCTTTTCCTTTCTCTCAATATGTTCAGCACAGATGTTTTTTTTTATAAAAAAAAACATTTTATCTTTTTACACATTATAATTTGGTTTTGTTGATTAATAGATAACATTTTCAAAATTTTATACTACCCGATTTTTAAACTAAACTAAATTTATTTGTCTTGATTTTCTTTTTGTTGTTAAGTTTTCAGGACATTAAATCTCTCAAATAGGGATATGATATGCTATATTAATTAGTGTGGTAAATCTAAATCATATCTTAATTTGGAAATATGTGATGGCTGAGACTTGAGATCATAAATAAGTACTATTGAAGTAATTTTCTATATAACTAAAATAAAAAATGCAAAAAACAAAAATCAAACCAAAATTCAACCGAAACATGGATTGTTGTTTTATTTTTCTTGGTTTATGGTTTTTTTCCCCGCCTTTTACCCAATTTTAATAGATTTTGTAGAATTTATCATTTTTGTTAACACGGATTTCACGTGTTAGAGTTTTCAAGATTAACGGAATATTTAAAATTATTAGACTTGCAACAAAAAAAAAAGATATGGAGAAAAAGGGAAAATAAGATAAAGTGTAGATTCCACCGGCCAAGTACGTGAATGAACAAGAAACGCAAGAAATTATGGGATTTGAAAAAGCGAAATGGGCCTCTGTTGCTTCTACATCTCTCTTTAGTTTTTCAGTCTTTTTCTTCCTTTGTCTCTTCCTCTAGCTGTGAAGTTAAGCTTAGATATATTCATTTTTGTAACATTTTTTTTTCGATAATTTTACATCCCCTTTTATTGGTACTTCATACGGTCTATTTCTTTTTTTTTTTTTTCCACAACCCAATTGTTACATCATATTTGGCCCGTTAAGGAATTGGTCCGAAAACTATCCTCAGTTGGCTCGTTATGAATAATTTGGGAGAAAATATCGTCTCTTGCTCGAGCTCCTTTTGCAAGACTATCTGCTCGAACATTTGAACTTCTGGGGATATGTGATAGGTTAAAATCCAAAAAGCTTTCCAGAAGAATACGAAGGGCTTCCAGCTCTGATGAAAAAGATGGCCAATCCGATGGAGATTCATACATGCTTACCAAATCCGAACAATCGGTCTGAAAGTGAACGGATAAGATTTGTCTCTCTATCACACAAGACATAGCCCATAACAGACTCTCCAATTCGGCATGAAGGGCCGATAGGCTTCAGCGGCAGCCCTGTAGGCCAAAGATCTCACCACCCCTCTCATCCTTTAGACTCCATCCGAGCCCACTTACCAGCCGTTACTTATCCAGGAAGCATCGACCTGACACAGCGGTAACCTCTCGACATCGGGTAGAGGACTCCGGAGCAAAGTAGTGAGTGGCGCCTCATCTGGTTCGTCCTCTACTTCTTCTGGTTGGTTTGCAATCTTCCAACTTTCTGCTTCAACCTTGGCGTGGATCAATGTATCTACTGGGGAAATTTCTTTCCCGTTGTAGATCTTGTCGTTCCTCGCTTTCCAAATATACCACAAGATCCAAGGATAAAAATCCTTTTGAGGATCTGTCATGCCTAACTCTTTTGTTTTCCAAAAGAGAAAGCTCATATTTTGGTAAATAGAAGTACTCGGGAAGAGACCCGGAAGGGACGGAAAGTCCGATAACGCCCAGACTTGTAAAGCCGGGGGACATAAAAACAAAAGATGGTTAATAGATTCTTCAGGATTCCCACAGCGGGGACAACTCTTATCTATTCCCATATGCCTGTAGGTTAGGTTTTGGCAAGTAGCAATACATCTTGATAAAGCTTGCCACATAAAATGCTTCATTTTTCCAGGCGTCTGTACTTTCCAGACATAGCTTTGAAGGGCTGTGATACTCGGTTCTCTCACGACATCCAAATTCTGTTCAAGGTTTGATTTCCTAATCAGGTCATATCCGGATTTAACCGTGTATATTCCTGATTTAGTATGGTTCCACGCAAATCCATCAAGGGTACGGTTCCTACTAGGTCGCAACCCAAGGATGAAAGAGACATCTTCAGGTTGGAAAAAATCTCTTAGAAGAGGCTCATCCCATTGCTTCGTGTCTTGCCGAATAAAGGAGTAAACTAACACTCCTGGGTCCTGTATTCCGATTTGGGGGTTGCTCTTGGTGGACGGGCCCTGGCATCGGGGATCCAAGGCTCACTCCACACCCTCGTATTTAGTCCCGACCCTATCGTCTTTCTTAGTCCCATTTTGAGATACGGTTTTACGGCCAACATACTCATCCATCCATAGGATGGTGAGTAGACATTTCGATCCTCTAACGGATCTGATTATCGATAATATCTTCCTCTTAGCACCCGAGCCAGAAGAGATGAAAGGTACTGAATGAGTCTCCATAGTTGCTTCGCTAGCAAAGCAACTATGAAGACTCATTCATACGGTCTATTTCTTATTCAATTCAGATTTGCATGATATTAACGTTCGGATCCGTTATCTATATGATTTTAAAGGATTTTTATATACTTACAAAAATGATTAGGTATTACTGAAAATTTGTTTATTTAGGATCTGATAATTTGGGATGTCAGATATTTTGGAATTTGGATTAAGCATTTACGTATATATCTTAAATCTTGTTGGTTCAGATGACAGCTAGGAACTTTGGCTCGTGTAAACGGCTATATTTGAATATTTCTCGACACGGATAAAATGACAGACAAGAAGATTACTATTAATTTTCATAATTCAACTCAAATTAAATAGACAGATAACCTACTAGATCGAAGAGATATCCAATACTCGAGCACAACTCTCCGATAAACATATCATTAATCATCGTAGAAATGGTACAAGAAAAGGTTCACAATATTGTCTGATGCCACGGTTTTGTGCTGGCACATCACACTAGCTAGCTATATACGATTCGCGAAGCCAGTAAGCGTTATTTTCTCACACAATCGATCAGCCGAAGTGAAATTAACTTATTATACCATCCAATTTTGTTAAATTCGTTTAATTTTGTTTTATATCCAGTAAAATAACACTTAAAAGGTATCGATCTTGTAATGATTGAGATTGAACATACCAAATAATTAGCTATTTAGCTTAGGAAACTGTTCAAAATATCCTAAGACGAACTGTTGGTGATTTGATGGTCAAAGATTAAGCTCAAACACGAGATTATAACTTTAAATATACTAATAATATATAAATTATTTTCCCTAAAAAGTGAAAAGAAACAAATAAATTATCTTTTCAAAAGTTTTCAAAAAGAGATTTGCTTTTATAAACAAGTTTGACTGACTAATATAGAAACTATAGATAATACATCCATAAGCATTTAATCATCAAAAGTTTTTTTTTTTTTTTTTTGAAGCAGAGCAACTATGTCTATGTGCACCCTACTTTTTCGTCGTATTTGCTGCTTCTTTTTTGTTGTGACGAAAAATGAAGAAATTTTCTCAATTCCATTGATGATAAGACATAACAACTTCTAGCTTTAGATATTTAGCTGTGTAACGTTTCGCTAACAAACACATTCCCAAATTATTGAATTATAGAGAGAGGTGTATGTTTGGGAACTTTAGTTTGGGAACTTTAGTTCTGATGCTGGAGTTATCTATGAATTTAATGAAATATCTAATGGATGTATCGAGATATTGACATGTAACGTAAAGGTTATGAGATGATTGAGTAGAAAGATGCATGCGTGTGTTAAAAAAACACTTCAAAAGCAAAATCTCCATTCTTCATATAAATGTACGTATTATGGAAACCAATTTGTCCATTTCATGGTTGTAACATCGATTTCTTTACAAGCGCATCAATGAAAAAAGCACAAGGATATTATTTGTTTTAAAAAGTGTTTTGGTCAAAGAATCCTTTTAAAACATATAATCAGATAATAGCATAAGACCTATGTGTCCAATGATTTGTTGAAAAGAAAATGTCCAATAATTTTGGCAACCTTGTGGAGCTTATCTTTCAAATAATTGAAGTAGATCTTATTTTAGTAGGGTTAAAAAGATCAATGCTAGGCAAGTTAACTAAGATTCAAATATATATCAACAGGTTTGATCTTAATGTAAATATCCGCTGTTAATTGCAGTACAAAAAGTATTTTAATGTAAACATTATAAATTGACTATACTTTAACTCCCTCATCCTTTCTACTTAAAAAAAAAAAAAAATACTATTATTTTGATAAAGTAGCCTACGCCAATTCTATTCAGAAGTAAAAAAAAGAAAGGAATCTAGATATGGACTTCAAATGTAAGTCATGGAATTGGATTTAGGTTTGGAAATATATCGAATTGAACCCAACAAACCGGCTATTTTTGGGCTCTGAAGAAACCCAAAAGTAATATTAAGCCTCTATGAATAATTTTTGTTTTTTCCCTTCCTGCTGTTTCAATTCACTGACACTTGGTTCAAAACAGAAGATGAAAATCAAGTGAAAAAGGCTCAAAAGGAAGAGGACAAAAACAAATGGAGCTCATCATCATCATCATCTTCCTTCTCTTTCTCCCTATCTTCATCTTCCTCATCTTCCCAAGGCGACCTTCGTCAGAATTCGGTTTCAAGTCGTACCCGATCGTCGGAAGCTTACCTGGTCTGGTGAAAAACCGTCACCGTTTCCTCGATTGGACGGTAGAGACTCTGTCTCGATGCCCAACCCAGACGGCGATTTTCCGGCGACCAGGGAATCAACAATTCGTCATGACGGCCAATCCAGCCAACGTCGAGTACATGCTCAAGACGAAATTCGATTGTTTCCCTAAAGGCGAACGGTTCATCTCCCTTCTCGAGGATTTTCTCGGCCGTGGGATTTTCAACTCCGACGGCGACATGTGGTGGAAACAGAGGAAGACGGCGAGCTACGAATTCAGTACTAGGTCACTCCGTGACTTCGCTATGACCAACGTCACCGTCGAAATCAACACCAGGTATAATAATTAATAGCTCAATTAATCAAAATCTCACTCTCGATTTCAGTTTCAGATTCTGAGATTTTTCTCCGGATCCAGGCTTGTTCCGGTGTTAAAAGAAGCCTCGACCACCGGAAAATTGATCGACCTTCAAGATATATTAGAGCGATTCGCGTTCAATAACATCTGCAAATTAGCCTTCAACGTCGATTCCGATTGCCTCGGCGACGACGGAGCCGCCGGTGTAGAGTTCATGCGAGCCTTCGAGACGGCGGCGACGATCATCTCGCAACGGTTTCAGTCCGTGATTTCGTATCCGTGGAAGATCAAAAAGAAACTCGATATTGGATCAGAGAGACTTTTGAGAGAATCAATCGTGACCGTCCATAGATTCGCCGACGATATCGTGCGTAACAGGATCGATCAAGCAAGAGAAGAGAACAAGAACGAGGATTTGCTTTCTCGGTTTATCAACATCGAGGAGATGAATTCTCCGGAGTTGCTACGTGACATTGTCATTAGTTTCATCCTCGCGGGAAGAGACACAACATCCTCTGCTCTGAGCTGGTTCTTCTGGTTACTCTCTAAGAATCCTGAGGTTGAAAACAAAATAATCCAAGAACTGAAATCGATCCGAGCAAGAACAGGGAAGCGAATCGGGGAAGTTTACGGGTTTGAAGATCTGAAACTGATGAATTACATGCACGCAGCGATAACCGAATCGCTAAGGTTATATCCGCCTGTGCCAGTGGACACAATGAGCTGTGTTGAGGACAATGTATTGCCTGATGGGACATTTGTAGGGAAAGCTTGGGGAATAAGCTATAATGCCTATGCGATGGGGAGGATGGAGAGTGTTTGGGGTAAAGATTGTGATCGGTTTGATCCTGAGAGGTGGATTGATGAAACGAGTGGTGGTTTTAGAGGTGAGAATCCATATAAGTTTCCGGTGTTTCATGCAGGACCAAGGATGTGTTTAGGGAAAGAGATGGCTTATATTCAGATGAAATCGATAGTTGCTTCGGTGATGGAGAGGTTTGTGGTTGATGTTCCAGGGAAAGAGGAGCGTCCTGAGATTCTCTTGTCTGTGACACTTAGGATCAGAGGAGGTTTGTTTGTTAGGGTACACGAAAGAACCTGAGTTTACTTGTTGGACAAGTTAACTTTTCTGGTGCCACTTTATTATAATGTCTATATTTCATTTACTCTAAATCTCCAACAATTCTTGGGTAAATCCTCACAAAAACTCTCGATCTTGGACCTTAATAAAACTCCTGAGGACTAATTACGATTGGATTCGACTTGCTCGCAATAATGAAGGGATTTGTCATTGTATACTGTGGCTTGATAATCGGTCTCCCTTTGGCGGATTTAAGACTTGTGGCAATCAAAATCCAAGCTGAGTTTCCAATATTAGTTTAACCGAAAACAGAGGACCCTGCCACTTGAAGAATCAATGGTAATTAACTTTAATTAATTTTTTTATCACTTAAGAAACCATCAGACTACTTGTAAATGGAATACGATAGGTTGGGTTAAACTGTAAAATGAAATGTATTTTTTGTTATATATTGAAAAAAAGTGTAGATGAAACGATATCTTCTATCTCGTCACCTGATCCGACTTGGTTGGCTATACAATATAAAAAAATATTTGTTATATCCTGCTAAGATAAATTTTCATTTGTTGATTTTCTTATATATCTTTTTGACCCCAAACAAAAATCAAATTATTATCGGATTATTGATTGTAAATCGGAATCGACTGTTGGGATCGCTGATTTGAGAAAGAGAGATCATTTAATCCCTAACAAAAAAAATTGCCCTTTTCGATTCCTTTTTTTGTCTGTTTCTTTTTTTTTTTTGATAACCAAATCCTTTTTGACCGGTGATTACCGTCGATCGATTTCAATCGGTGGATGTGGATTCAACTTTCTTCTTCGTAACTTTCGTCTTCTACATTATCTCCTGTGACTCAACCCTAAATTACAGTCCCTCCCTGGCTTGGATAGTAATTACTGAGAGCCAAAACAACTCAGCATCTTTCTCCTTGAAATCCCTGGTATTCTTCGTTCGCTGTCTTCGCAATCAGATTTTTTTTTACCAAATTGCATTTATTTTGTGTTCCCTCTCATTTAAAGCTCGCAGCTTCGCTCTCTCTTCATCGGTTATATCTTCATCTCGACTATGTTGTTGTTATTTTAGATGGTGACCTGTTGCTTTCGTTTACGATCACACCTTAATACGGTTTTCTCCTTCATCTCTTTAGGGAGATTTGTTCTTCATTTCGTGTATTGAACTTTGATCTGGCCATCGCAGAATTTTCAACGCGATAGGGCTCTTAGATTCATTCAGTATTCGTTCATTGTGGATACTTTTTTTTTTCTTTCTCATTGTTGGTTTCGTTCATAGAGTTACCAATCTGAGAGAATTGTTTGCATTAGTTTCCTTCCTTTTACGGATATTTTCCATGTTGTTCTGCTCAGGTTTCTGATTCTATGGTTTTCCTGTAATTCTTTCCTCTTATGGCTCTCGGAATCTTCAAAGAGTAAGACTTTATTAACTCATACCGCAGATGATTTTTCCCAGTTTTGGCTAATCGCTTCCTCTCCTTGTTTTGCTAATAGGCTATAACTCTCCTTGATTGACTGTTGTGCTTATTCATTTCTATCATCCTAGTATTATTACCAGCGTATTTGCGTCAATTGAGATTTTGTTGCATTGAGTATTATCTGAGTCCTATTTGTTTATACCCTTACATTCTCTCTGAGTATCATCTATCAAATAGCTTTGACGACAATATTATAGCATCAAGACATCAATTGAGTGGGTTATTATTGATCTTGTCCTCTTAATTTTTCTCTGATTACGCTATTCTGTCAGATTGATGGAGGCCAAACCAAAAAGAAGGGTTGTTACAGAGAATGGAGATACAGGGGAGGATCTAGTTCTTGCAACTTTGATCGGAAACGGGGATGATGTGGGTCCTCTTGTTAGGCATGCTTTTGAAATGGGGAGGCCTGAACCCCTCGTTCATCAGCTAAAAAATGTGGCGAGGAAGAAAGAAGCTGAGATTGAGGATCTATGCAAGACCCACTATGAAGAATTCATTGTTGCAGTTGATGAGCTCCGTGGTGTGCTAGTTGATGCTGAAGAGTTAAAGAGTGATCTTGCAAGTGACAATTTCCGGTTGCAAGAGGTGGGTAGTGCCTTATTGGTAAAGCTGGAAGAGCTACTCGAGTCATATGCAGTCAAGAAGAATGTAACTGAAGCTATTAAAATGTCAAAGATCTGCGTTCAAGCACTAGAGTTGTGTGTTAAATGTAACAATTACGTATCTGAAGGCCAGTTTTACCACGCCCTGAAAACAATGGATTTGATTGAGAGGAACTACCTGAAGCTTATCCCACTTAAGGTTCTAAAGTTGGTAATAGAGAGAAGAATCCCAGTGATCAAGTCACACATTGAGAAAAAAGTTTGCAGCCAATTTACCGAATGGCTTGCTCACATTAGGAGCTCCTCAAAAAATATCGGACAGACTGCTATCGGCCTCGTCGCTTCAGCTCGCCAGAGGGAAGAAGAAATGCTGGAACGTCAGAGGAAAGCAGAGGAACAAAACACAGGTGGATTGGGCGAATTGGTATACACTTTAGATGTTGAAGACGTGGAACAAGATTCTGTTTTAAAGTTTGATTTGACACCTCTGTATCGAGCATATCACATTCACACCATTCTTGGAGTCCCAGAACGGTTCCGTGACTATTACTATAGTAACCGGAAGATGCAGCTCGATTCAGACCTTCAGGTCTCATATGGACAACCATTTGTGGAATCATACCAAACATTTCTAGCTCAGATTGCAGGGTATTTCATTGTGGAGGATCGGGTGATTAGGACAGCTGGAGATTTCTTGTTGGCTGATCAAGTAGACACAATGTGGGAAACAGCAATTGCCCAAATTGTAACTGTATTGGAGAACCAGTTTGCTAGAATGGATTCGCCTACTCATCTGCTTTTGGTGAAAGATTATGTGACTCTCCTTGGCACAACCCTTAGACAGTACGGTTATGAAGTGGGTCCAATTCTTGACGCCCTTGACAAAAGCCGAGATAAATACCACGAGCTTCTTCTTGAAGAGTGTCGAAAGCAAATCGTGACTGCTATTTCAGATGACACTTATCAGCAGATGGTAATCAAGAAGGAAGCTGACTACGAAAACAATGTCTTGTCGTTTAATCTTCAGACCTCAGACATCATGCCGGCTTTCACATACATTGCGCCCTTCTCTTCTATGGTGCCTGATGTTTGCCGCATCATCAGATCATATATAAAAGGTTCTGTTGATTACTTGTCCTATGGGGTGAACACTAACTTTTTCAGTGTAATGAGGAAGTACCTTGACAAAATCTTGATCGATGTATTGAATGAAGTTATCCTCGAGACGATTAGCAACAATGCGATTGGGGTATCTCAAGCTATGCAGATTGCAGCAAACATATCGTTCCTTGAAAAGGCTAGTGACTATTTTCTCCGGCATGCAGCTCAACTGTGTGGCATCCCAAGCCGATCAGTTGAAAAGCCTCAAGCTAGTTTAGCTGCAAAGGTTGTCCTCAAAACGTCAAGAGACGCGGCCTATCTTGCTTTGTTGAATGTGGTAAACACCAAGTTGGACGAGTTCATGAAGCTCCCAGAAAACGTTAACTGGACTACAGAGGAAATGCCACAAGGCCCGCATGAGTACATAAACGAGGTTGTTATATACCTTGAGACTGTTATGTCAACTGCACATCAGATCCTCCCAATGGAAGCTTTATACAAAGTTGGAGTTGGAGCTGTCGAGCATATCTCAAACTCCATCGTCTCTGCGTTTCTCAGCGATAGCGTAAAGAGATTCAATGCTAATGCAGTCTCGGCTATAAACCATGACCTGAGAGTGATAGAAAACTTTGCTGATGAGAGATATCACTCGAGCGGGTTAAACGAGATCTACAAAGAAGGAAGCTTTAAAAGCTATCTGGTTGAAGCTAGGCAGCTGATAACACTGTTGTCGAGTAGCCAACCTGAGAACTTCATGAACCCGGTGATTAGAGAGAGGAACTACAATACTTTGGATTACAAGAAAGTGGCTACGATCTGTGAGAAGTTTAAGGATTCTCCAGACGGGATATTCGGAAGCCTCTCAAATAGAAACACGAAGCTGACAGCTAAGAAGAAATCCATGGACATGCTTAAGAAGAGACTCAAGGAATTCAACTGAATTCTCTATAATGACTACTGCTTTAGTAGGTCCTAATTACATTATCATCATATATACAGTTTCCTTGATTTGCTTGTTTTTGGTTATCCTCTAATTTTGTTTTGTTTTTTTTTTCTGTCTAATGGTCTCTGAGTCATTTTATTAATCAATTTCAGTTTTGTCCTAATTGACAAAAGCCTTTCTTTGTCGATCAACAAGTCGCCTTTATGGCTTCTTGCTCAGTCTCCGTACCAACAAGATTAATCGTTTTGTGTAAAAGCGGGTTCAATAATTTGAATAAATAATAAATAAAAAATTGAGTAAAAAGCTTATAGGTTTTAGGATCTAATTTGACGTTTACTTAACGTTTCCAAAAGAAATTAATCAAAATCTCTCTCCCTCGCTCTCAGTCTCGCTCTCGCTCTCTCTCTCTCTCCCTCTCCCTCTCCCTCTCCCTCTCGCTGACGCTCACGCTCTCTCTCTCTCTCCTTCTCCCTCTCGCGCCTCTCTCTCTCTCTCTCCCTCTCCCTCTCTCTCCCTCTCAAACCTCAATTATGGACAGACACACCAGAAACGCGTGGAAACGAAACGTGCAGAGAGAAAAGCGCCGGCGAGCGTGGGGATTCGCGCCAGTAAGTTAACGTAGTTTGCAGTTTTCATTCCGATTAATGTTTGTGTGATAAAATCTTGGTTTTTTTTTTGGTTTCTTGCAGGATTTAGCGGTGGTGTTTTCCCCCTCTCCGGAACCAGCGGGCGAGGAGAATGGCCGATTTGCCGGAGAGGTGAGTAGGGTTTATATAGATTTCGGTTTTGTGAATTAGGATATCTTATAATTTCGATTTCGGTTCTTGGTACATTCTGGTCAAAGATTGGATTTTTAATTCGAGCAATTGTATCGGCTTGATGGGTCGGTGATTCAGGGATTGATAATGCCTTTTGTTTTCTGGGTCTAAAGTTTACGAAATCGTGTGTATGTGCTGGCTTTTTGATTGTTGATTTGTTCTTGTTTTCTTATAATTCGGCTGGTATGTGATAGTAACTGGTGTCTTTGTGATTTAGCTCCCTAGTCTACAAAGATTTTATAAAACTAATTGTCGTATTAAATCCATTCTTACCTGTTGCTTGTTTCCTGATGATGTAACAACGGTACGGATCAGTTGAAACCAGAGCTTTTTCACACATCTTGATAGCTTTTTTAGAGCTCCATGAATGTATATGACATTCGAATCAACTGTAGTTTCTTGAGTCTTGATATGTGTTTCTTAACATTGAAAACAGAAACAATGGACGATTTTATTAGAAGCTAATACGTGTTGTTGTTGTTTACTCGTAATGCAGCTTCCACCGCATATGGAAGACGAGTTTGAACCTCTCCAAGTTGAAGCGCCTGTCCAGAAAAAGAAGAAGACAACTCAGAGAACAAGTATGGACATGTTCGCTGATGAGTGTAGAGGTGACTGGCCATTGGAGCTTTTACCACGACCTCAAGGCTTCGTATGGTTGAAGACATTACTATGAAAGGTCACGGGTTCTTAAGTGATGACAATTGTAGCAAGGCCGTTCTCTGTTTCTGCAGTGCCCTGGAAATAAGGTAGAAACTCATATTCTGATTGTATTTGGTAGAAACTCAATCAAGATTATACATTTAGTTAATCATAATCAGGGTTGTGTGTTGTATTTTCATTCAGATTAGCAGAGTTTGGTAGAGCTGGATGCGCAGCAGAATGTATCAACCTAGGATTAGCTTTGTTAAGACTCGCAGACACTGCTCCTTATGTCAGAGAGTCAGCGTTGGAGGTTGCTGCAATAATGCTTGAGTGTGCATCGGAGATTATGGACCAAGGGTCGATCTGAAATGGACTAGCATCTGAACAATTCCCAGAATTAGTTACTAACTGATGTAAACTCTTAAAGCATTCTTTTGCTCGGTTTTACTTTTGATTTTCTTTTTCGGTGGTTTGTTTTCAAATTGAAAACATTTCTCACGCATTTGTGCAGTTTGTTTACTCATATTTGTATAGAATAGAAAAAATACTATAAAGGCGTTGGAATTCTTCATATCAGATTTTTTTTTTTTTTTTTTTGTTCAGTTATCTGTTCAAATTCAGAGAAAGCACAAGTTCAGTTATCTGCAAAATCTTGTCCAAGTAAAATATATTATTTTCCCAATTGTAACATTGTTTGCTGCAGTGTTGGTTGAGAAATTGTTGAGGGCAAGTCCTGAGATTGGGAAGATCTTCGTTCTGATGAAATCCAAAGATCAAGAATCTGCCAACTAGAGACTCTTATGATGAGGTTTTGTACTCAATCCCATCCTTTCGTTTCGATTCTTTTTTCTTTTTCAAATTTCTCCAACATTTGTATCCCATTTTTGTTCCACACAGATCATAAGCTCGGATCTATTCAAGCTTCTGAAGCAAATGCATGGGACCTCTTATGAAGCCTTCATGAAGAGCAAGTTGATTTCAGTAATTGGAGATATTGGAGAAGACAATCTCGGGATTGAATCTGAAATAGCAGACAAGACTAGTTGAGGTCATTAGACAAGATTGGACAAGATTGATGTCATTATAGGTTGTGGAGGTCGTACAACATTTGATGACAGGTTTGAGTTTTGACAAAGATGTTTTGATTAAAGGATGTATTAGCGAACAGAGAACGAGAGCTCAACGAGGAAGAAGAGTTTGTTATGGAAATATATTTTCTCATTCTATTTCAAAATTGTTTCTGTATAAGTATTATATACTTCTAATGGTATACTCTACTTACACTGTACATGGTTTAACTAAACCTGACTAGTATACCAACTTAACCAAACTTTATATAAACCAATAGTCCTCCTCAAGATGAGTTTTCGAAGATATTTAGAAGACTCATCTTGGACTTCAAATGGTTAAATTGGTGTGGAAACAATGGCTTGGTAAAGATGTCCGCAACCTGATCTTCAGTTCGAACATGCATAGTTTTAAGCTCTCCACGATCCAAGCGTTCCCGAACTGAGTGACAATCTGTTTCTATATGTTTTGTTCACTCGTGGTACACTGGATTAGTTGCTATAGAAATTGCTGCAGTGCTATCCGAGAAGAGAATCGGCATAGAAATAGGTATCCTGAGATCATGCAACAATTTCTTCATTCAAACCATTTCTCTAGAGGCCAAAGATAAAGCTCGATATTCGGCCTTAGCTGTAGAGCAGGAAACAATGTCCTGTTTCTTAGACTTCCAAGATATGAGTGAAGATCCAAGAAACATACAAAGACCTGTGGTGAATCTCCTGCTATCAGAACAAGCAGCCCAATCGGAGTCTGCAAAACCTTCTAAGGTTAAATCCAGATCAGAAGAGTAGAATAATCCTTGACCAACTGTCTCTTTGATATACTGAAGTACTATGTAGACAGCTTTCATATGAGAAGTGCGAGGTGCAGATGAGTATTCACACAGTTTATTAACCGCAAAGGTAATATATGAACGTATGATAGTCAGATACATCAATCGACCCACCAAACTTTGATATGTTTCTCTATTCTCAAGAAGATCACCATCATTCTTAGACAACTTGAGATTAGGAATCATGGGTGTGGGAGAAGGCTTGCAGCCTAACATTCCTGTGGTAGATAGAATCTCCAATGCATATTTGCGTTGACATAAAGATATACCAAGTTCAGTTCTTGCAACCTCCAAACCCAAAAAATATTTCAGAACACCAAGATCTCGCAATTTGAAACATCGTTGAAGGGCTTTAGTCAACTTAGCTGCATTATCTTCATTAGTGCTGGCAATGACAATGTCATCTACATATACCAGTACGGCTATGAAATCTCCATGATCAAAACCTTTTACAAACAGAGTATGATCACCATCACATTTTGTGAATCCCAAATTGAGAAGAACAACAGAGAACTTCTTATACCATTGTCTCGATGCTTGTTTAAGACCATAAATGGATTTCTTAAGTCTTAAAACCGCATTCTTTGGCAAAGAGTCCCCCTGTCTCTCTGCATAACCATCAGGCAACTTCATAAAGACTTCTTCTTCCAGATCACCATTCAAAAATGCATTAGAGACATCCAGTTGGGAAAGAAACCTTCAACAAAAGTTTGACTGTACTGAGTTTTGCAACTGGTGAAAATGTCTCCTTGTAATCCAGACCCTCCTTTTGAGTATATTCCTTAGCCACTAACTGGGCCTTGTATCTCTCAAGAGTCCCATCAGCATGAAATTTCACGGTGAAGACCCACTTGCAACCAACAACTTTCTTTCCTGGTGGCAAAGTGGTGACTTCCCATGTTTGTGTAGATTCCATTGCACCAAATTCTTTGTCAACAGCATTACACCATTCTTTGGAATTCTTTGCCTCAGAATACGAGTGAGGAACTGAAATCTTGGTGATTGTGTTGATGTATAAGAGATGTGCAGGGGAGATCTTTGAGTAAGAAATAGAGGATGAAATGGGGTAAGTGAGATCCGATTGCATAGAGTAGCAATGGTATTCTTGTAAATGGGAAGGAAGTTTTCTAGGTCTAGTGTTTAAAAGTATAGTTGGTGATTCATTGGATGGAGTAGAAATTTGTGGTGAGAGAAGAGAAGAAGGAGTGGTGATACCTGATGGTTCTCGTGGCTCAAAGAAATCCAACGCTTGTTCAGATGTTGAATTCTTGAGTAATGGGAACACTTTTTCATGGAATTCCACATTCCTTGAGATAAACACAGTATTACTTTCCAAGTCCATGATTTTATATCCTTTATAACCTGCTGGATATCCCAAAAATATACATGCTCGAGCTCGAGGTTGGAACTTGTGTCTCTGTTTTGGCGATGTTGAACCATAACATAGACAACCAAATGTCCTGATCTGATCATATTGAGGACTTTTACCCGTCAAAATCTCATGTGGTGTTTTATTCAGAAGACGCTGAGACGGTGTCCTGTTGATCAAGAATACCGCTGTTAAAATGCAGTCTCCCCATAATGAAAGAGGAATACCGGATTGAAACATTAGAGCTCTAGCAACATTGAGGATATGTTGGTGTTTCCTTTCCACCACTGAGTTTTGTTCAGGCGTTTCAGGACAGGGTTGGAATGAGATGATTCTTTTTGTTTGATATAGAGCTGCAAATTTTAGTTCAGGTGCGTTATCTGATCTGACTGCTTTAACACGTTTTCCATACTGATTTTCAACTTGTTCGATGAATGCATGAAACACTGTTAATACTACAGATTTTGTACGCATCAGAAAAACCCATGTATTTCTTGAATGATCATCTACAACTGTCAAGAAATACCGATAACCATCAACTATTTCAACTGAGAAAGGTCCCCACACATCAATATGTAACAAATCCAATGTTGAGTTACAAATATTATTCTGAGAAGGAAATGATAACTTCTTTTGTTTTGCCAGATGACAGATATGACAATGAGCTTTTCCCTTATTCTTGTGACGTGTGGTGCCTAAAACATTTGAAATAGCATCCAATCTTGAATAAGATGGATGACCCAACCTCTGGTGCCAAACTCCAACATCAACAACCGCATTAACTGAAGTCGTAGATACTTGAACTTCCAGCACATAGAGGTTTCCAATCCTTCTACCCTGTCCAATCTTTAACTCCCTGGTATGATCTTAGATTTCACATGAATGAGGATCAAATATCACACGAGAAGTAAGGTCTGTGGTGAGACAACTGATACTGATCAGGTTCAGTCTGAACTCAGGGATAAACAACACGTTTTTGAGAGTAATGTGTTTGTTTATCACAACTGAGCCTATCCCACTGATTCTAACCGATGATCCTGTTGGCAAGTTGACTGAGTTCACAATAGAAGTGTCTACTAAAACGAACAGTCTTTTGTTATGACAAACATGATTTGTAGCACTCGAATCAATCACTCAAGTATCATTGCATAATGAGTGATTTGAAACAGTTAAAATGCCAACAAAGGTCAATGTAGAAGGGGAAAAGGAGATACCTGTATGATCACCCACAGAAGTATATCCACTTGCTTCACCATGTGTATTACTGGATGGAGTCTGAAGCTTAAAGCTGAAGAAGGCAATAAAATTCTGAATTTGATCCTTAGTCAAAGTTCCCATCAAGCCATCAAGATTGTTGGACTTTACTTCCGGTGCAGAGGACAAAGCAACTTGAGCTGCTACAGGTTGAGATTTCTGAGTTTTGTCAAGTGATTTGCCTTTTGGAGTATAACCCGGAGGAAATCCATTCTTCTTGTAACAGCATTCTGCAATGTGCCCAACCTTATTGCAGAAAGAACAGATAGGACGTCCTTTATTTGGACCATTCTGCACATAACAGATGAGATCTGTATTTGTAGGAGTAGAAACATTCTCTGACACTTGAAATGCAGATGGAGAAGGAATAACCGGAGAGAAATTCTTCTGACTATCATCTTGGTCGAGAATATTATACACTTCAGCCAAACTAGGAAGAACTTTTTTCATAATAATCTGTCTCCTGATGATTGCATAAGACTCATTTAGACCAGCCAAAAATTTCGCAATCTTAGCTCTCTCTGCCTTCAATTGTAGACGAGCAGCTTTTCCACAGATGAAAGGTTTTTCAGGCTCTTCAGTGCTTTCCAGATTACTCCATAGTGTCTTCAGAGTGGTAAAATAATCTGAAAGAGACATTGAACCCTGACGAAGATCTTGTATCTCCTGACTGAGTTTAAATGTTCTTGGCAAATTCGTCAAATGAAATCGACTATGCAAATCAAGCCAAATATCAGTAGCATCATTTAACCTGAGTATACTACGATAAATCTGAGACGAGACAGAATTCAATAACAAGGATTTGACCATGCTGTTCCAGCGTGACCAAAGACGAAAGCTAAGATCTGATTCGTTTGGACGAGGTAAGGATTCATCCACAAAACCAATTTTATTCTTAGCATCTAAAGCAATACACATCACAGCGTTCCAATCATCATAGTTTGTACCATCAAGCTTCATAGAGATGATAAGCAAACCTGGATGATCCGCGCTGTGTAAGTAAAATGGAGATTGACTCGGATCCTAAGT